ATAACGAATTAGTAATCCGTAATAACGAATTAAATAATCCGTAATAACGAATTAATAATCCGTTATAACGAATTAGTAATCCGTAATAACGAATAAATAATCCGTAATAACGAATTCAATAATCCGCAACATATATACTTGCAGTGGCGCTAATGGGCTTTCGTAGAGAGCGAACAATTGTAAAAAATGGTGACTGGGTGGTGCCCGATCACTAAAAATTAGGGAGTGAAATTAGGGACTAGACTTTCTAGAGTGAAAATCACTCTCATGTTTGATTGAAATAGTCGGAAAAAAGAACCACTTCAGACGAAGCTCGATTGAAAACTTGATCTTTACGATTGAAGAAATTTCACTCTAAAACGTCTAGTACCTAGTTTCCGACTGTGGGAGTGAATCTTCACTCGGATGGAGTGAATTTTCACTCTTTGGAATAGGCTTGTGTATATGGAAGACAATATGTGTGGAATACAATGATGTTACCTTTGAAGCGCCTTTTTAGCGCTACACGTACAGCTATTCAGAACTAGAATCAGTATCGATAGACATCAATATGGAAATATACGGAGTCTCCAACGTCCTTAGAGTTTACGCAACATATGCTAATATGCTTTGCTAAAAATAAATGTTTTATGACTTTTTTTGGTCTGTGCATGGGCATAATAAAATTCTGCTCTGAGCTTATGAAAAAAAATATGGTTTGTGGCTACGTTCCAAAATATTAATTTTGTGCAATAACAAATGGAGAGGAATACTGTTGAGAATCGATTGCAATCACCAATTCCGAAAAAACCCACCCAACGGATTAGAATATTAGTGCTGAATGCTTCGTTAGGTTTATACAACACTAGACTTCAGAGGTGATCCTACCAGGCCAAAAAAAAGTCTCCGGTTTCTGGTCTGCGCGCACATCGCCGTAGCCATGCGCGTCGGCAAAATTTAAAAGTTTTTTTTTCAGGGTAAGATGATGTCTCAAAACCGCCAAACTCACTGGTTTGACTGGAATCCTGCTGCTGCAAAATTTTAACGTGTTTTTAGATATGGGTTACTATATCGAGTATAAGCTTCATGTGGCCTCTCTAAAGCTCCCATATATTTTGTACTAAATTTAGTCGGGCACCATTTGCAGACGGTGTTGAAATTTTGTAATTGTGCGTCTGGAAGCCAGAATGAGGGAGCGATGGTTGTTTATCTGGAACCTGTTAACGCTTTTTAAGTAGCGCAATGTGTAAGGGAGCAGACTAATGACCAGCCTGGCAGCACATGTACAATGCCGATGTCGCTGTATGGTCTGACGTTACCGTTTTCCCTGATTTTTGTCTTGCTATCCTAATTTCCCGAAGAAAATTCGTGTCGGTCGAGATCGTAAGTGGGTGCAGAATTCTCAAGCCTTAAGGCCTTACTGAGGTCACCTACTCAAGCTCCATCCTGAAGGATATTTTGGAGAGTTTTAAGGGGATTGAAGCGTCATCTGCATCATCAGAAGAAAAACAAGGGGGGAGGAGAAAACCCGCGTCGCCGCACCACTAGTTGGGGCAAGCTCATACCAGAAACCGGAGACTAGTTTTTTGGCCTTAAGAGTTCAGTTTGGGAAAAGAAAAAGTTCAAAATTCATTCTTTGGACAGTATTGAAGAAATTACCGTCCAGAAAAGAAAGAGAGCGTGAAAGGAAAACTAGAATAATTGTAAAAACGGGCACTGGGTGCATTTTGTCTTTGCAATTGATGCAACATATGCTTATGCTTTACTAAAAATAAATATTTTATGGTTTTGTTTTGTCTTTGGGCCTAATAAAAGTCTGTTCAAAGCTGATAAAAAATGGTCCGTAGCTTCATTGTACGAAAAACTGCATTGAGGTACGTTTAAACATGTTATCATTTGAACAAGCAAGGCACAATATTTTATTTAAAAACTAACTTTTATTTGTAATGTTTTGATTTACATTTATAGTTCCGGTTTAATGACGTTACAGCATTCGCATGCTCGAATATAATCAAATTTTGGTGATATCTGCAATTGTGCCACACTTATCGCTATAGGCCGGTAAAACAAGAAAAAGGACGATCATTTTCTTTTGCACCGCGCTCCTGGTGCTGTACGTATAGTTATTCAAAAATAAATTCAGTATCTGTGGATTTCAATATGGAGTTTGACGGAGACTCTATCGTCCTTGGAGTTTATGCAACATAAAATGCTTGTTTAAAAATAACTGTTTTTTATGGCTTAAACAAAAAAATAATATCCTTGCATGGGCATTAGAAGATGCTACTCGGAGTCGAGAGAACGGCTCGTAGCTACGTTGTGCAGCATATGAACTTTCTGTTCTAAGACATGAGAGGAAAGTGATGAAGTGCAATGGAAATCAGTTATGGCGAATACGATGAGAAATTTGAATTGGAGTATTTAATGCTTCTTGTGATTGAGTAAAGAAAAACAACCTATAGCCTTCCACGGTGATCTAATAAAGAGTGGCATTTGGAAAAAAATAAAGCTCCCTGGATCCCAAGGTTGAACATGTTTTATGTTTCCCGCGTCGGAGCAGTCTGCATTTGATTTATAACGTCTCATCCACAAATTCTGGTTATTTTCTAGAGATATCTGAATAATTAAACAAAATCTATTTCAAATGTTTCAGTTAAAAAAATCAATCAGTTGACCTAATGTATAAAAACGAAAACAAAAGAGACAGTTTACCCAATCCGGTTGGTCAAGAGCCCGTCACGTGGCCAGTCTTAAACGGTTGATAAAACACCGGCCGGCTGGTCTTAAACAAGTTCCAGTGTCACATGATATTTTGACTCCTACGAAATCCGGTCCGTTTTACCCTTTTATTGTTTGAATGCTCACAATCCCCGCTTAGGCATGCGCAATTGACCTATCGCCGTTAGCGACTTAGCCACGCCCCTTAGACAAACCAATGGAATTTTTTTACACACAGTTTTGTTTCAGATTTTGCGCGTACCGCGTCCATTTGCATTACCATGTAATTGGACAATATTTCACAAGCTGCATTGACGCGTTCTTACGCGATTTTACCGCAATAGGTCAATAGGCTACTATACCAACGAGTCCGTATTTCATAGTCCTAAATTCACACTACACCGACACATTTGTGTTCTGCGCCACATCGCACAATGTGTGAATTTGAAAACGACATAGTATTCGGATGTCTTCATCAACAAATGTTAATGATTTCTACAAATATGCCATAATCATTGCTATCGGGCACTGAATGGTGGATGTAAAAAAAAAAAAATAAAAAAAAAGATGATTATAATAGTACCAACAACGTAACATATTAATGTGCTCGTCACAAGGATTAGACTTTTTGCAACATCGGAAAGGTCTACTAGAAGCGAAAGGGTGATTTGTCCACAAATACTTATGAATATTTATAGCATTGGTAATTTGTCCTTAAAAGCCAGCCAGTCAACGTATTTCTGGTGTTGCACATATTTCTACTCAAAAACAGGGTCAGTTTCGATAAACATCCATATTTTTTTGCATGGGCATAATACAATTCTGCTCTGAGCTAACGAGATAATGGTTGGTAGCTACACAGTACAGACCATTACTTTCTGCATTGCGACAAGAGAGCACAACTGGTGAAGTACGCGACGATTGCAATCAGTTATGGCGATAAAAATCATACAATGGACTAGAATATTAGTACTGAATGCTATGTGTGATTCAGCACACAATTATAATTCTGAGGTGATCCCATACAAAAATGTTCTTTTGGGGAAAATGGAACGCTCCTTTGATCACGGTTTCATTGTACCCAGTATTGTCAAAGCTGTCAGCATTCATTTTATAACGCCTCGATATGCTTATTTTTCTTCAGATATCCGATTAAAATTAAGCCCAATCAATTTCAAATGTTGTTTTTTTATTTAAAAAAAGTGTTCGAAAAATACAAACAATATTGTGTCACAATGGCATATATAACTCGGTTCAACACACAAAAATATCAAAATTTGACATATAGATTAATATCTTTTAAAATACAACACAGTGAACAAACAGTGATTGAAGGGCCATGTCATACAATTTTGCTACATGTGGGCTTACATTAGTCGGGTCCTTGCCTTCTGTTCAACTGATTGTAGGGTGCGCCCGAAAGTGTTTGTTTATTTTAACGAAAGTGTTGTCATCAAGCACATTTTTTTTTCAAAGTCAAGTCTCCAGTAAAAATAAAATAAAAAAAATAGCGACTCAAGTTAGACTCGAATCCGAGTCAGTGACCGGAGTCAACCACCTTGCCATGAGGTCCCCAGAGAACATCAAATCACATGTTGACAGTCACAAGGCAATTGCTCTGTGATTTCCTGTGAATGACATACAAATCAGTTTTGCCCATTTTGTGGTCAGAATTTGTATATTGGGCATCATACATGGTTTTTCTTTAAATGCTCTCACATTTGGCACAAACGTTCAAAATTCATCCAATTCATAAACATTCGACAGCTTATGTCACCGTTAAAGAGTGCTATACTTAGTTTCAGAGCCAAATCCATCATTGTCAAAGATTGTTTGTCCCAAAATCCCCAAAGATTATGTACGAATGCAACCACCAGCTTTGTTTGTTTGTTTTGGGGTTTTTTTTTTTGGCAAAAACGGTGGCCACATCGCATTCCCACCATACATGGTTACCTGTGTGACCATAATTTGTGTTGTTATCTTAAGTTACTTCTTGACAGGTTTGGGCAAATAAACATTAGTTTTTAATTACAAAAAAAAATCAATATTCATGTTTTTATACAACAATAACGAAATGTCATGATTGCTATAGCATTTTGCAAATCGGTTACTATAACAACAAAAAGAAATTGCCAGAAAAAATTCGATTCCCCTAAAGATAAATACAAGCAAAATAATAATGGGCAAAAAATAATGTTGCTCTCCTTTAAAACTAAAGGAAATTTGCCACAATGTTTCAATTATCTATCAGAAAATCTGCTCCAGCATTGTTAACGGCTAAAAGAACGCCAATAATTTGTGTTTTATTTCCATCTTGAGCGAACGCGTGCATCCCTCAGAAGCCGCGTCTGAAGTGTCTTTCTGGCAGCATTTTGGAGCTCCTTCATGTTATCGCCTTGCTGGTATACGTACAACACGTTGTTCGTTGGATTAGCGGGATCCAGCATCACAGGCCTGCCAAAAAAACCCAAACAAACAAACAAACAAACCAAAAAAAAAAAAAAAAAAACCACACACAGGAATTGTCTGTATATTCCCCATTTGCGGTATCTTAGCAATCTTCTATATAGCGCCCTCTGCAAGCGTGAACATCGACATTTTCTCAGATCCCTATTATGCGGAGAGAGATACCGTCAACTAATTGCACGCAGACGCAAAATGGCTGGGACTTGATATTCCCCGATGCACACATCAATGTCAATCGTTTCACTCAACTTAATTAGCCTTTGAGTTATTGCTGACACAAACTAAGGAAGGCCCTATTTGGATAGGGTTAAAACTTTTTTTTTTGAGCTGATCTAATTAGTGTTCTGCACTTTAAAAAAAAAAAATTCTGCCATAGTTTCTAAAACAAGGAATTTGTCTCAACTCACCACTTCATATCTAGCGTCTTGATAGCATGCAGTGCCATATCCTTCGAATAGTAGTCCGGCCAGAACTTCCTCCGTTTCCACCGTTGACGCCCCAGAACTAGGAGGACGGCCTTAAGACCTTCGACTAGTTTAAAGCGTTCTGGTTTACCGGCCTTCTCCCAGCAGTAGATGGTGATCAGCTCCAGCGGGTAGGACTTCTGAAGGCGCTTGGGTAGACAGGTGTAAGCCCAGTACTTCACCATCCGGATCAGGTCCTTGACGATGTTGGGCTGCTTGCTTACAAAATCCATTTGCTTTTTGACAAAGGAAGCCGAGTAGAATCCCCGCTCTCGGTGACTTAATGTTTGATTCATCATTTCACTGTACACGTCTGAGTGATCTGTCGAGATGGAAATATGTTCAATAATTCATACACAGTCAGACCTTTTGGGTCTGCGGCTGAGTAATGGAGTAGGCTACAAGCACGCCATTTTCTGAGATAAAAAAAGTTGCCAAAATTTCCTTCATTTAAGCAGTTTAAGCAGTAACTGTACTTCAATATTAAATATTGAAAAAAAAAACGAATTGTGGGGGTTTTAGTTATTTTAATTTCCGTCAATGAACTTGTATTCACGTCACTGTATATTCCCCGAAAAGATGTTAAATGTTGCAGACCTTTTCCCTGCATTAAATCCTGGAAATCACCTGTTGTATCGTTCCCAACACTAATATCAAATCTGTTTACATGTTTGTTAATTGGCTTTTCATCCTGCACCACTTAGGAATTACCATAAAATCATTGAAATTCCACGAATTTAACCTCTGCCGTTTAAAATCGCCCCCGATTCTTACAATCAGACAAAAATAGTGAATTAACTTCTTACGTACCGTTGTTTGCCGTTGGGAGCAGATCAACGCTCACTGTCCTCGTACCGACTTGTACGTCAAAGTTTACCAAGAACGCGTCAGTTCTATTTATTGTCACTGACGGCAGCTCACATAGTGAGTCCTTCAAATCCTCAATGACAGTCTTGAGTTGGTTCTGATAGTCCTCAGGCAACCGATACTCGCTGATGGGTTCCAAGTCGGGCGGATTGACGAAAGCCACAAGGTCTATATCAGAATAATCTGCCAACATAGTATCCTTACCAAGTGATCCACCCTGCAACAAGGGCGGATCCAGGGGGGGGGGGGGCCAAAGGGGGCCATGGCCCCCCCCAAAACGAAACCAATTTTTTTTTTTTTAATGTGACATCGCAATAAAGGCAGGCAATGAGTACACCACCATCTTTTCCTCAAAAAAATTGGTTAACGGTGGTCAGAAATTGCCTCAGATCGCACCACAGAGCATCTAGAATCCAAAAATTTTTCGGGGCCCTAGCGGGCCCCGAACCCCACGCCGTAATTTGTTAGACCCACTTTTTGGGGGGACCAAAATTTTTTTTGGCCCCCCCCAGAATTGTGTTCTGGATCCGCCCTTGCCCTGCAAGATGTCATATCAGCAAACACTTGATCAAAAGTCATGGGGGGACACTACTAAATCCTTGTCTGGCAGCCACCTTGCGCCCGCAACTTTAAATATCCCTGCCAGGAAATTGTTGCAAATATACAAAGCAGAAGCAGAGGAAAAGTGGAGATCACCGAACAAAAAAAAAGTGTTATGTTGGCGTAACCCGACCGACCCTAAAAATGCGGCCGACCCTGGATATATTTTTATTTTTTTTGAAGGGAAGAAATATAATTAAAATCTATAGAAATGAATTTGAAATGAAATTAATTAATGAAATTAAATACGTTTTGAAACCATTTCTGACCGTTGACGATAGCGCGCGTGGAAATTTGGAGTGCACAATGTTTTGCACCTTCCTCTCCATGACACAACGAACATGCAGAAGATCGCGCAGGCCTACAGGCAGTGCGCGTGCGGAGATCGATGCACCATGCATGCATGATAGATGCACATGTACATACATGTACAGTACACATGTAGCCTCGTCCTAGACTGTTGCACGGCGCGAACTGCTACATACACTATTGAAAATACTTCGCTATTTATTCCATGTTAAAAAAAATAGTTCATTATAACATAAATTATTTTAATTAATTTTCCACTATTTTACACAATAACAATTGATATATATTTATTCTAAAAATGGTAAACTATTCTGTAACCCCGGCGGCCGACGCGACCCGGCCGGCCCTCGGCCCGTGGTTACGCGCGTACGCCGTCGCATCATGGCGCCCGGTACCGAAGCGTACAGTGTCTCCATCAAGGGCAAATGGGGATCTTCGGTCATTTTCGACCGTTTAATGCGGATAAATTTGAGTCTAGAGCTGGGGGTAATCGCCCAGAGCTGTGCCGATGGTGTAAAAGCGGGTTACACCGTGCTAAAAATACAAACTTCAAAGGAAGAATCGGGTCCATATAAAGATGTCGATGCAGATGAAATGGCTAACATTTTGTCTGATTTTGGATTCCGCTTTTTGATATGTACCTTTGGAAAGGTTGATGATGAGCCTTGTTTTCTTTTGTTATCGTGTACTACTACCGGCTTAATGTCATTTTCGTTGCTGGGATAAAAAAAAAAAAAAAAAAAAAAAAAACCCGACCTACCTACCCTATTTTTTCTGGCCCGTTACGCCAACATAACTTCTTTTTTTTTTAAGGCCTAATGGTCCCTTTACCAATCAACTCAAATGTAGAGAGCGCCTTCGTCATGATAAATCAAATCGGGAATTCCGGCACATGGCGGTATAGGGACCTCCGAGCATGCTGAGTTTGCGCGCATTGCCTGGAATATAGCAGGCGTGAAGTCTGCCTGGAATTGTTCGGTTTGAGTTCCAACATCTTTGGGCAAGTTCGACCAACAACTACAGTTAACTATATATATACTTAATAACTTTGATAGAACGCAACGCACATACAAGTTAGTCGACGATGGTTGGACTAGTCTATTCGACTATTGATAACCAGCCTACCGAGTTTGTTTGCATCGCTGGTTATCAATAGCTGTTGCGTGTAGAGAAGTTCAAAGTGGACCAAGTAATCGGGACAAAAACGGCAGTATCAAGCAGGATGGGACGAACATCTTAAAATCTGTCGAGGAGCATTACTGTTCATCATTTAAAACACATGCAGTTAAATGTGTGTGTGTGTTTTTTTTTTACGGTTGTTGACATGACAATAGTTCGACTACAGGGTCGTTCCCACTTCAACCTCAGTGCGCATGCGCTAAGTACGTCACGAATCAACCACTATATAGTTAACCACTGGTCCTTGTTCGAACTTGCCCAAACTTTTCCCTTTAATTGTTGAAAGCGCCCTCTGTCGCCGCAGGCAGCTAACCCATGCTGACCAGGGACCGACCTGCGTTAGTTGAACAAAATCCAAAATGCAGTTTTGGCCAAGACTTAATGTGGCAATGCAGCGGCGCCGGACTTCGAACACTTTTGCGTTTTGTGAGACACATCAGTATATAGGGCCCACCCCATGCGTCAAGCCGTCTGTAGACATAATCAATTTCTATGGTCACTGGGCAAGTTAATTTATGAACCCTGAAATCACGCTGACTTTTGGACGCATTGTTTTTTTTCAACGTGAAATATGAATGATCCGTACACATTCACCTTGATAGTTCTGCCGACTTTAAGGAGTTGAATACGCTGGATATGGTGAATGACACTGCCAATGGCCTCCCGGCAATCTGTATCGAATGCCATGAGGCCATTTCTAATATTATTCCTGAACCATGTCTCCAATTCGTTTGGGCTCAAGCACCATAGTTCCTCGTCTTCAATTTGAGACAAAGGCACATATTCCGTCGTCTCTGAATCGCGACTGCTGCTGCACCACACGCATCCCATTGTCCTGAAACCGATCAAAATGCCATTAAAAAATAACATTAACCACAATAGGAAACTGACTAGGTAAAAATCATGACAATTCATTACAAAGTTGAACAAAAACATTGACTCGATCGGGGCTGTAACCTGCGCAGCGATCTCCAGATTTTTGTTCCGGTGCTCTACCAACTGAGCTATCCAGCCCTATCTTGGCGGTTTTCCAATCCGTCAATATGCTTGTTCAAGGGGAGCTAGTCAGAAGCCATAAGGTCGGTAGACGGTATCTGGAGGTCGCATGCTCAAACCCATGCACTCCAGTCAATTTCTTCGTTCAACTTTTGAATCAATGTTTTAAAAAGTTAATTTCGGAGAATGGTCGTGTCTATATAATTGGCACTGTAGTTCGTTGTAGGCCGTTCATAATACTTCCAGTAAGTCTTCATCCATTCAATCTTACCTGTACCCGCTTTGATGAGTGCTAATCACATCTATTTAGCATAAGCCGTGAAATAGGTTACTCATCCAATTTGGTTTACCATCATAGGGAACGGCTTATCCCGAACACTGCTTTTCTTTCTACTGACTAATTCCTTGCGTTCAATGCATACATAATATTCATGACTATACATTTCTCGATCATACTCGTAATATTGCTTTGACTTCGGAATGGGTACAGAGTGCTGTTTTAAGGGTACTCGTCGAAGCAGAATACTGTTTGTTATTTAGACTGTTTGAGATAATGGACACAATGGACGGACGCTGTTTCAGTTTGAGTATTATGTTTTGCTTACAAACACCAATTGCAATTGTGTCTTTACTGCAGTAGTAACACAAGGACAATAACAACAGACTGGTTCCGTAAAGATTACATAATTATATCATAGACTGCATATGTCTGTGAGGTGGGTTCCAGGGGGAATTTTTGGTGCTACCAGAAAAAAAAAACTACCGCACGGCAGCGAGCTGGATACTCACCGCGATGACGTCACCTGGGTGTGTATCATTTTTATTTCCCGGACGCGTGGCGGAATCGGCCAATGACGCGCTCCAATTTGATCATGAATATTTATGAGGTGAAGTAACTTTCGCGATCCACGGAGCCCATTCTTCTCTCCTGTCTAACGTCTGATATATCTGAGCATGCGTGACGTCATTTCATTCCGAAATCAGGACTAAGATTGTGATTGATCAATTGAAATTTTCGATGCCGCGTTTTAGTCAGTGGCGCACCCAGGATTTGGGTTTTTTTTGGGAGGGGGGCTCATTTTTTTTTTGACAAATTTGTTGTGGATTTTTTTTCAAAAACATTTGCCCACAATTTTTGGCCGCAGAAATGAATTGGTTTTATTTTGAGGGGCGGCCTACTTTGACGTTAGTGGCGCCACTTACACCCCTATTATACTACTCAAAAACAGGCTACATTAATATCACTAAGGCCAAATCGTGGGACTAAAAAAAAATACCAAAAAAAAATAAATAAAATAAATTGACAACCTCTTTGAGGGGGGGGGGGGAGCTTACTGGTTTTTGTAATACAACAACCAGTGTACCATTTTTTTTCGAGGTCATACGCAGTCTAGTTGCATAATTAATCGCCAAATCTGTTTACGTACAATATACCATGATCGGCTTCGCCAGGGCAAGAGTCTATTGCATAGACTAGTCGCCGGGGGGGGGGGGGAGGGTGGCCCCTGTTCCCCTGGCCCCCCACGACGCCCATGAATAGAACGACTTAAATCTTCTTGTTACGTACTTCTTGTTACGCCTTTTTCAAAATTGGTTTCCAATTTAGCGCAGCTGTGGTGTGATATGGAGATGGAGTTCATAAATGGATAGTTTGACTTTCATCATGGCTATTCCGGCTATTCCGATGGAGTACAAAATAAAAAAAGGATAACTTTTCGAAACACGGAGCACTGCAATACTAATTGTTCACTCTATGCAACATTAAAAATCCGCACACTACCATCCTTTGAGGGAGCCACTTTGACAGTGGAAATTTTCCCAACTTGTACATATTACCCCATTGTTTTTTAATGCTTCTTGTCATATCTTCGCTGTAAATCATGTGTTAAACTTCTGAACACAATATTAAACGTAAATCTATAATAACACTTTACAAACATTTTGACACGTTAAAGTTGTGAAGATACACTAAACACATGTTTATAATTAGTTGAACACTGATTTTATTTCTATGAACACTATTTTATGTGTTTTTACATAAACATATTAACACGATTAATGATACTGATTAGTTTCTTAACATAATGTACTTAAAAACAAGCTACTGTTTTTCTATTTTTAAGCCTTTAACACTTTTAAATCACCAGAACGTGTTTTTGTTTTACAAGCGGAGTGGGTCCATGTAGCCATTGTGTTTATCTTTTTGCTCATCAAACAAGGTTATATTTCGTATACATTGTACTTGCTTTTCTTTTAACAATGTCATTCATAGACGTCAATTTGGAGCCAAGGGCGGATCCAGAACACAATTTTGGGGGGGGGGCCCAAAAAAAAATTTGGTCCCCCCCAAAAAGTGGGTCTAAAAAATTACGGCGTGGGGTTCGGGGCCCGTCAGGGCCCCGAAAATTTTTTGGATTCTAGATGCTCTGTGGTGCGATCTGAGGCAATTTCTGACAACTTTAACCAATTTTTTTGAGGAAAAGATGGTGGTGTACTCATTGCCTGCCTTTATTGCGATGTCACATTAAAAAAAAAAAAAAATTGGTTTCGTTTTGGGGGGGGGGGGCATGGCCCCCTTTGGCCCCCCCCCCTGGATCCGCCCTTGTTTGGAGCAAAGTTTGTTGATACAATTAAAGGAGGGAACACGGATGTGCCAGAAAGAAACTGAAATTTCGGCTTCGTGAACCAGAGACATATTGCAACTTTACACTCTTGAAGAATATGCCACCAGTAACCATTTGTGAAGATGACGTATTCCGAACTATTGGGAAGTGTGCCAACTGTGATCTGTTTGAGACGAGGCTAATAATGTTTTGTCATACTTTTTATATTAGTAACATTAATGGTTTATTTCACGTCAATTAAAATAAACCGGGCAGCCTGGTGCTGAATTGCGTTTCTTTCTACTTATCAACTTATCCAAAACAAAATATAGGATTATTATCAAGTACATGTAGATGAATAAAGACAGAATTAAGTCGAAATGTTTAAATTCAATAAGCCTTTTCGGAGTTCCAACTGCGCATTCGTAACCTGTGACAACGCGCATTGAGTGTCTCAAATGGCCTTTGACAACATCGCGCCACTGACTTTACAAAAAGGCTGTTTGTGCATTGTGGGTACTGTCAAAGGGCATTTGAGACAAACAATGTGCGTTGTCACGGGTTACGAATGCGCACAGTTGGAACTCCGAAGAGGCTTATCACATGAATTGTTTTCACAAAGCTGATAAGAACACTGACATACACACATATATCACGTGATCAACATGGACAATGTACATGTATTAAAAACAACCACAAAGGGTGATTAACAGGAAAAAATATAAATAAATAATACACTGATTATATATAATTGAAGGTAAAAAAAGGAATATAGGGCTGTTCTTGTAACGACTAGCCTCATGCATCCGACACTGGGTAAGTTTATCAGAGTTCCTGAGGTTTTTGTGGCTTTTTATTTTAGTCCCTCTGACCCAGTAAGGATGTGATGAGATTGGCACAGGCCTGTTTGTACGAGTGGTATGTACGTTCCTACAGGAGCCTGTACTCAGATAAAATTATGCGAAATGCTTGCCTTTGCAATTTCTCCAGACATTCTTTCTGAGTTGTGGTCAGACCACAGAATCACGCAGGCGAAGCAAATTCCAGTGTCGGCCATTTTGTTAATAAATTGTTAATAAATCAGGAGCCGGAATATGGTTTATAAATCATTCAATCAATATTTTACAAAACTGTACTTTAAGGTATATGTATAAAGATCTCTGCTGGCAAGCGACTTAAACTCAGCAATACAGTTTGACAAAATTCAGTCATAAGCAAAGTTGTGCATGTACATGTAAATATTTAAAGACATACGCACGAAGACTTTGTGAAATTTTGTGAAGACTTTGTGTGGTCAATTTAGAGTATTTTTTTAAGCATATCTCGAAAATATACCAACTATAACCTTTACCAGCAAAGTCTTCACCATTCAAGAAAAGGTCAAGATTGACCAACGTTTTTTTCACACAATAAGAAGAGTATTTCAGCGAAGTTAAAATTAAAAGTTAAAGCAAACCAAATTTATAAAGACTGAATTTATGATGTCTATTTTTGAAGTATATTTTCCGTGGTGTGAATAAGCAAGAGGAATAGGGACACGACACGTGCCGCTCCCGGCACAGAAAATAATATTGTGCCCCTCTCCCCTTGCTCAGAATTTGGGTAGGCATTTGAGCTTTTTCTTGTGAAAAAAAGAGGTGGCCCCAAGTTACACTGCTGGATCACCCCAATGTTTTCGACGACGGCTGGCCAACGTGACATTCTTCAGGAGTTCGGATCCGAGTGTCTTTCTGGCAGCCCTGCTAATCTTCTTGGAATTACCGGCCCTTTGGTAGATTTCGAAGACGTTGTTGGTTGGATTGACAGGGTCCAACATGATAGGGCTAAAAACAAAATCACAGTTATTATCCAGATTAGGGTTGTGGATGTTAATGCATATGCTATACCATTGCAGAAAACACATTCCTGTCAAAATTCACCTCCCAATCACGGGGTTTTTATAGATTTAATCTTTTATAACATGCTGCATATAAACTTACCCTTTAGAGGGTTGTTGACAAAATATGCTTTTTGCAAGTTGTTTGCTGCAAGAATATTGGGCCATATGATATGTCCGTAGTGCTTTTATTGCCTGCAGTGATCTGAGGACATCCTTCAACCCCCTGGTTTTATTGAAACTCTCCGGCTTCCCAGCCCTCTGCCATTTGAAGATTGTAATCAACTCTAGCGGGTAGGACTTCTGAAGTTCCTCGGGTAGCTCCGTGTACGCCCAATTCTTCACCAAACGTATGAGCTCCTTGACACATCCAGGCTGACGCTTGACGAAATCTACCTGACTCTTTGCGAACGATACAGAGTACAATTCTCTGTCCTCGCTGCTTCGAGTCATCATAGTCTCGAACAAGGCTGCCAAGGTTACAGTAAAACAAACAAACAAATGGTTGTTTCATTAAAAGCGTACCTCTGTATGGAAATTACCCACCACCGTCTTAACAAGACTGAAGTGCATTATTGCGACCAATGGATACCTGTTGAATGTGCAGCAAGACCACCTCAGGGAGGGAAAGCTAACGTTGTAAATAACATATTTGAAGGTGTGCATGGAGGAGATGTCAATCGGATAAAGATTACGATAGCACCATGTGACAAATCTCTTTTGAGATTCTGTGAAGCTCTGCAGAACCACACTTTAAAACATGTTTGGCAAAATGGGTTGATAATTCGACCAAAGCTGGTCGACTTATCATCTGCCTACACTCTTGGGCAAATTATTGCCAATATTTTGTCAGTTTTACCCAATTCAACCCAATATGAGGTAATTTCATACCAATGCTGGGTAAATTACATTGCCCAACAGTGTTTTATCCAACCTTTTTACAGTGCAGGGAAACTGGCTTGATAACGTTGGAAAATTTCCTTTCAGTGAAAGATGCCTAAAGAGTTTCCATGGTTCTTTTCAGTAACTCACGAGTTTGGTAAATACAGAAAATGTGTGCTTTTAAGAACTGCTTCATCATGACTTAACACCACAATATTACATCTTAAAATGTAATGAAAATTTAATTTCGATAAGAATTTAATCCTTCCACGATCTCAGTCATGAATGATTTAAACTGGATATATATATATATATATATATCCAATGAAATCGTCTTCTATCACAATTCACAGTGCATGAATTTATTCACAGTGCATGAATTCACAGTGCATGAATTTATTGCATGATATATATATATATATATATTTATATATATATATATATATCAAGCATCAAACTGATAAAGAATCACTCTATTGTAACATTATTGTTTGTGTTTGTTGGGTTGTTATAACTGCATAAATTGTTGGTGTGGTTATGGGGTTGTTCGTTTGCTTTTTTTTATACGGATAAACCTAATACGTTTACCCCGACCCTCAACACCAGGAGGGATGGACGCCGTTGGAAGAAGGTCTACTTTCAGCGGACGATCCCCAACGACGATTGTGAACTTTACCAGGAAAGTAGAACTACTGATGTTCTTCACGAGGTGTGTGAAAAACTTCGCTTCTTTTCTCAGTGCTGCCTTCATTTTACTGATAACCTTCCTTAATTGCTTCCTGTAGCGTTTGGCTTCCACCGTATGAATATGTTGCAGGTAGGGCGGGTTGATGAACGCAACCAGATCCACATCAGACAAATTCTGGACCATGGTTCCCTTTCCGAGGGATCCGCCCTGAATCAAACGAAGAGACTTTTGCAAAACAACGTAGAAGTCCACAAACCCTAAAAGATGTGCGCGAGATGCAGTAACAAAATTTCAGTCAATACCAAATTAATATTTTTATTTCAAGGAAACACTGACCTTAAAAATTTCGCTGACATTGAACATGTCTCCATCCGTAGAGCAAATTCGCTGGATAGATCGGACGACGTCGTTCACCGCTTCACGACATGTAGCGTCGAAAGATGCCGTACCCTTTTGAACATTTTCATTGTACCACTTCTCCAATTTGCTTGGAGGCAAACACCACGGCTCACTGTTAGCCGATGCCATGCTGATGCCACGGTTCTACTTGGGTATACAAAAGAAGATAACAAGTTCATTGTGGACATGCGATATTTCTGCTGAGCAATAAGCATGTTGTTTATAACATAATTCATTACTTATTTGTCGTTTTTTTGGTGTCTATTTAATAGTCCCTCTGATAGTATCTTAACATCCAGTCGCACTATGTTACACAATATACAAACGACATTGATCTTACCTTACTCTCTTCGAGAAATCCAAAATCCAAAATCAGTCTTTGACAGCTGTTTTCTGCGATCTAGAAACACAAATCAGACTGCTTCACGTTTTCCTGCTGAACGACGTTCGCCAGATGGTAATGGCAGCTCATAGCAATTAGATATAACCTAGCAACTATATACACATTTATTCGTATATGATGGCTCCCACCAATAATATCGTCGGTTAATTTTTAATGAACACTCAGCGGACAGAAGACTGGAATTCCCCGGATGAGAAATCGAGGAAATAGATTACGAAGTCCAGATACAAATTATCATTTATTAATGTGCCGCTCTGCTAAGTGTCGGGTAATTCCAAATGACTAAACTGTTGCTCAATACTGCGGGCTTTTGTCATGCTAATCAGTAGGCCTATATAGCTACATTGTCGCCTTGTAGATTGGGGTAATTCCCAATGGCTAAACAGTTGCCCAATAATGCAGGCTTTTATCACATTACTCAGTAGAGCGACATTGTCGCCTTGTTGAATCGGGTAATTCCCAAGGACTAAACTGTTGCTCAATACTGCGAGCTTTTGTAAGGATCAATGTACATGTACGTACATTAATATAGATTACAGATACTGCGGCCTTCGTCATGTGCTAATCATCTGAGCGACATTGTCGCCTTGTTAAATACTCTGCATTCAGGTTCATGGACACCTAGTTGCCGTTCTCAATATTGAAGTTGATATTAATCGAAAATGCATTTTAATACACTACGTGTTCTTCCTAGTAGAACAAAAATACATGAAACAGGCGTGTCTTCGAGGAATAATCGTCAAGACGATTAATGCAAGGCTGTAAGTCAAAAAGGGAATCATGGGCATAAATCCTTGGGGATGGGGAGGATTTACCCCCTCCTCACCACCCCCCCCCCCCCCCCCCCCCATTTTGGCGGTGAGTACAAAATGCAGATTTCGAGGTTATCTTGTAACTTTGCATGCACTGTTTTAATACACCGTACGTTTTCTTCCTATGACAAAAATACACGAAACAGGCGTGTCTTCGTGGAACAATAAAGACGATTAAGTGCAATAAGGCCAAAAAAAGTCTCCGGTTTCTGGTATGGAGCTTGTCCAAAAAGTGGTGCGGCGACGCGGCTTTTTTTTTTTTTTACCCGACTTTTTTGCTTCAAATGTGCTTCAAATGTCGGCTGATGACTGCAAATGGTGCCCGACTAAACTTAGTGCAAATATATGGGAGTCCAGAGAGGCCACATAAAGCTTATTCTCGATCATAACCCCATCTAAAAACACGTTGAAATTGCGCAGCAGCAGAATTCCAGTCAAACCAGTGAGTTTAGCGGTTTTGAGACATCTTTCATTGAAAAAAAAAACGTTTTCATTTTGCCGACGCGCATGGCTACGGCGACGCGCGCGCATACCAGAAACCGGAGACTTTTTTTTTGGCCTAAGGCTGTTGGTCAAAAAGGGAATTGTGGGCGTAAATCCCTAGGGATGGGAAGGATTGACTCCTCTCAGCCCCCCCCCCCCTTTTTGGTGGTGAGTACAGAGTGCAGATTTTTAGGTTATCTTGTAACTTTGCATGCACTGTTTTCATAAGGTTAAGGCTTGCGTGCACATCATGTACCTCACACTGTTTTTTAAGCCTCGTTCATGTGAATATGCGCTCGTGACCAGTAATGAAGCTACATACAGATGGATATAAATGCAATTCACTTACGATCTGTTAACTAAACGAAGTAACAGTGCAGTTTGCGCGAACACACGAAAAGCAATCAACCATATCGGGTAATTCCCAATGACTAAACCGTTGCTCAATATTGCGGGCTTTTAAATACCCTGCCTATCAGGTTCACGTCTTGAATTAAACCGCTGGTTGTTACGTATGAAATCTGTGAATTGCCTTCTGTAATCATGTAATCGGAATATATTAGCAATTATAATATGAACGGCGACGCTTTTAGGCCTACACAATCACACGGCTGGTTGGGCCAAAAAGAAATATCTAGTTGGCTCCAAAAGTGGAGTCAATGTACAATATGTACAATATGTCAATGTACAATATGGAGACCCACCAGCTATAGATGAGGCTTATGAGTACGAGTGCAGGGTTACGGTGTCACATGAAAATCCGACTCCTATGAAAATCGGACCCCTTTTCCCTATTATTGGTTAATCCCTTTCACGTGACCGATCATTTTCCTAATTACCATACTTACGCATGCGCGGTATTACCAATGAGTCCGAATTTCATAGAAACGTAAATTCACGCTACACCGGCATTTTCCAAAACAGTCTTCAAACGTGTACTGATTTGTCTTAATGACAGAAATAAATGAGAAGACGCAGTCTCGATTATATACTGTTGTGCTTGTTAAAACAACGAAATTTTATTAGCTTAAAAAAAAACACCAAAAATTTACCAAATTCCACCCTTCCGCCTCTCAAAGTGCCTGATAGCAAATACAGGCAATCATCAGTCTGTCAAATTGTTGCTTTATTTTGGGCACAAACAGATCCTCTTTTCCGGGTACATGTATCCATGTCAATATTGATAGCCGGCTCCCGCCAAAATTTAGGCAGCCAATTACAAATTAGAGAAAAAAATCAATAAACATCGGCAGATTTTTCCGGTCGATGTCGTATTTTAAAGTATTTTTCTTTGTTACTGCTAGAAGTAATCTATTTTTTGGGGATGCAACTCGAAAATACTGCACGGGGACGCATCGCAAAATAAAGGCAAGGAAAAAAACGGAAGTAAAATATGCCGATTCAGTTACATCAGATGCAAGTGAATTTAATTAAGCGTCGTCGTAGTTCTGAGCTGTGGTAGTTTTTTTGGTGAAGATTTTTCTAGCCAGCTTTTTAAGAGTTCAGCGGAAACAGCTTTTCTTTTCGTGGAAATGATGTTACTTTGGACTTAAGTTGTGTTACTTTTTTTGCCGAGTTCTTTTAATAATCGTTGTTTTAGATTTTATCGGCAAACTTGTAATCTTTGCGACTTTTTAGCTAGTGTTTTAGCAATTCAGTTGAAACAGCCTTTATTTTAAGCTTTTTAGCCATTTTGATCAATCGCGGCAGTGTTATATTAATTCCCGCTTATTATACACTATAGAGGGTCATGCACAGCAATGACAGTCACGAAATTAACACTGTACACTGTATTTTTCACAAAATAAATTGGTCATTAACAATAATAGATGAGGCCCCCCGTGTCATTTATTTTTACAGGTGAAATTAAAGGAGTATCCTTTTAGTACTGCAAAGTTTGGACAAAAGCGCAAAACCATTAGACAGTTGCATCAAAGAACAGCAAAAGTTCAATATCTGTAAAAGAACTAACATCTTTGACTTCCCTTGGACATCTCTACAGTACCCTTTATAACAATCACATGGATAACAACAAACATGTAAACAAAATTGCTCAGATAAAAACCTTCGGATGTTTTGAAAAAATGGGGACACTGACTAGGGAAAAGATGGAAACACCGACATCCAGTGGTACTACTAATGAGGAATATTACATCCACATTTCAAATGGCCATAGCGACAGTATTCAGTCTATCAGTGTTAGCGAGAAGACAAATCCCTAAGTCAATGCTGATTCATGCAAGGTGACAATTACTCCGTAATTGTTAATGTTTACTTTCCTAGGTTTGGCAAAAAGTATATACTGGCCCCCATTTTCGTTGAGGTCGTGACTTTCCCTGGCAACCATACGATTCTTCAACAAGAATGCCCATTGAAACATGAAACATAAAGTATCCCGTTTCGTCAATGAAGATTGGGTGTGCCAGAAAACAGTTCTATAGGAACCACTCAGCATACTGAACACGTTGATTGAGAACTGCAGGGGCATTTCTTGTATCGGGAACATCTTCCACTACTTTTAGCATCATCATCCCATCCAAGGCCCTGACTATGTTGGTAAACCCCACGTTTTTCCGGCAGATGCTCACTCAGACTATCTGCTCAAGTGTCAAGATGAGATAGGTGTCAAGGATCGCTTGCAATAATGGTTTCGCATCTCGCCATCCATCTTGAAACGGGTTGCTCCTCCTCAGCCTCTCTCGCCTTCCAGACCTCAAATAGGTTGCGACAATTGATCTACCAGGAAGGAGGAGGCTCTTCTTTTTTGCTCTCCCAATTAAGATGGCGGGTTTACCAAGATGGCAGAAGGATGCCTCCATTTTCTTGACTCTTTTGCTGTTACGTTTGTGTCCTAAGGAGCTGTCACCCTTTATACTAGGTTTTGAACATGCATGCATAGGCTAAAATGACCTTGTCTCTGTACGAAAATAGAAATTATATCGTGCTGCAGACAAAGCTACATCATTAGGTTTTACACAGCATTCAACCAACTCTCCGTAATTAGAACACAATAGGGCGTTGTTCATCTGGAAGCAGTCCTTTATAGTTTTCATCTAATGAGCGATTTCATGATTGAAATCGATGAGCCTCTGTAGCCGGATCCAAAATGATTCCTGCATTGAAAGTACGAACAAATGAAAAGGGCAAACGGTTGAAAATTTATAAAATGATTATGACACCACAGAACTAATTTGGGCGAGAACCATTAGTCAACTACAAGTAATGGTTGGTTTTGATGTAACTTAAGCATGCGCACTAATAACAACGTGCGAACGCATCCCTGTTAATTGCTGATGAAAACGTCATCACAAAACTTCTTGGTTCTGGTTCCCTGCTGTGCATCTAATGGGCGGGAATACAGGGTGAGAAAAAAAAGGAAACCAAAATGTCGGGACCATTGTTTAAGTGAAGTTCTGCATGTAGCACTTTCAAAATCTAGGATATAAAAGCCCAATTCATAAACCTTTTTTTAGCACAAGAATCATTCAAATCACTCATGTACTTTTCAAGTTACGAAGTTTTAAACAACTGCCATTTTAAGGTTCTGTTCACGGATCACAAAAAAGTTCAGTGTTCTTTCAGCAAAACGAAAACAAATCACATAGGGATGTGTGTGAACTGTTTTCGTTTTGCTGAAAGAATGCACACCTTTTTTTTGTGATCCGTGGACAGAACTTTAAAACGGTGGTTGTGTTTAAAACGCTGTAACTTGAAAAGTACATGTCTTGAGTGATTTGAATGATTCTTGTACTAAAAGAAAGCTTATGAATTGGGCTTTCATATCCTAGATTTTGAAAGTGCAACATACAGAACGTCACTAAAACAACGGTCGCGACATTTTTTTTTTTTACTCACCCTGTATTGGTAATCCGCAATGCAACTTCATGTGCCCCAAGGTTCTGAATACTGGACTAGAGTAGTCCAACCATCCAGCGTTTGAGGAAAGTTAGTCGAACTCTGCTTAGCAGTGCTCGCCCAAACTTGCTCATAGCTGTTCCTTCTTTGCATATACTTGAACGAATGTGAGGCTCTACTTGCAACGGAGAAGCTTCCACATGCATTTCAAACAATTCAATCAGGGCGGGATCTACACCGAAGACCAACCCTCTATTCACTCACCAAATTTCGTAATTATTTTGCAATTATTCCAAGCAGTGAATAAGTTAGATTGATTTACTTTTCCTCTACACTCTTGCGTCACGCTTGTCTTGGCCCAAGACGCTAGTGATCAAATAAGACCAGCGTGCCCTACTTGCACTAACGTCTTGGCCATTTTGTTTCAGCAGTTTAACTTTTTCTATAATTTCTCAGTAGGCTTTCCTATTAGCAATTGAAAAAAGGTTCCATGGCTCAGCTGATGGTTGTAAACATATGCGGCACATGATCATCAGCACTTTCCTAAGGAACGGATCGAGAAACCTAGGTTCAATGGCTCGCCCAACGGTTGTAACCATACGCGTGACGTGGTACGTGATCATCAGTGCTTTCCTACCCCCGCCCCATTGTTACAAAATGACCAAGACATTAGTGCAAGAAAGTAAAAAGCCATCATGTAAGGGAGCTAGACAACAGTGCAACTATCGCTGACGTTTTGGGCCAAGACTAGCGTCACGCGTAACGCAGCAACCAATTGGTACGCGCTGATAGGATGATTCTTGGAAAATGGATGCACTGGCCACTATCAGGCTAAATGTGGCCCGCTATGGTTTGCCGTTTTGAGTCTGTGTTCTGATTAGGTAGGATGGTGAGTTTGAAAGTTGAGGGGGACTTCTTCTAATCACAAAGTAAGTCACTCATCTTGTCACAAGTTTATCACGGGGGAAGAACTATGACAAATGAATGCCTCTGTCATTTGACTGAATAACAAGTCACTTGACTAGAAACTGGTTGACTTAAAGAACTTTGTTCCTTCAACATTGTCTAAACTGCAACTCAAAGTTTTTTGGATTTTTCTTTTTATCACAACTCACCAGTGATTCAGATAATGGAACAGCTTGTAGAGTTCGTGCCTCTTGTCAAATCCCGCTGCCTTTGGGACGAGTTTGTGATATGCCGAGTAGAAACTTCTGTTGAAACCTCCAAACATCCCTGCTATGCCTAGCTCATACTCAGAGTGTCCGTAAAAACTGGCTGGATCGAATATGACTGAAAGGGGAAGGATAAATGAATCCATTGGTCTGAAGTTAAATTTTGTTGGTTCATCATTGGATCAGTGGCAAACCAAATCAAAGCAGTTCATTCTAAAAAGATGTTTTACTGACATCTTCGATGAAATTTTTCCCAAACCCAGGAAATGGGCTCCATGCACAAGTACCCCATCACCGGCCAGAAAAGGAGAGTTGGGGGTGACCTGGACTGGTTCCCGATCCATCCACTGCGTATTTCAAATGTATCCAAAGTTATTAGAGGTGGGGATGAGTCGCAAGTTCAATTCGAATGTATTCGCTCGCCGACGACGCCTGACGCTCACGCGAAGATGCTTTTGCGCTTTCAGAAAGTCGTGTGTACTTCGCGCGCGAACCAGTACAGTACATGCACGTTGTGTGTTCCGTCCACGGAGCTCTCAAAAGAGGTAAAAAATGTGCCCTCTTTTGTTGGAGCATGGAGCCCATATTGGGAATGGAGCCAGGCTTGGGAGGGGGTGTCCAATGGTAACATTGTGCGACCTATGTGCCATGGTATGTGGGTTTGAATCCCGACGGGGAACGTGGTCCTTGTGTCCCTGGGCACTAGCATTACCTCTCTCTCTCCACTTTGCCTCTCTCCACCTGGGATTATGAATAGATACATGTAACGGTAGATACAAGATTGTGCCCAATTCCCAGGTTTGAAACATTGCTAATGTTGCTTGCGTCATGGCCTTGGGCGTGATCCCTGGCTACATGGTACATAGGTTTGTGGCTCTTGACTAGTACCCTTGAACTGAGGCACTGACGAAATGGCGAACCTAACTGGATAGCTCAGTTGGTAGAGTACCGGAAGCTGTCAAGTCTGCTCCGGTCAATTCTTTGTTGAACTTTAAATTACAAAAAATTTAGCGGCCTGACATTTTGATCTGAACAAGATCTTCAGAGGCAAAAAAAAAAAGAAAAAAAGAGGCAGGCAGGAAATAGGAAGCAGGTTGGGACGAGAAACAGTGTTTTTTTTTCACTTGGCCTTAGTTGCTCCAATCACAAGAAAGGGACAGAACCAGTCACAAGAAGTCCACACAACATTACATTTTTCTTATTACTTGATTTTCCTAAACAAGTTTTTCCGTCATGGAACAGGGAACCAGTCAACGTGTTCATCGCAAGTTTTTTTTTTAGCTGGAAACCCGTTCTTGCTAAGCATTCAACGCTAACCTGGTTCTGAGGTCATCTCTGCTACATTGCCACCCCATAGGTCCCCATGAAGCAAGGCAGGTTTGATCTCAAGACCTTCAAACAATCCTGGAATCCTGCGTTCTAGCTGCGGCCATAACTCCCTCGCCTCTCTGTCTCCGTAATCACGCTCTATCAGGCCCAATTGGAACTTGAGGCGGTTCCTTGAATAGAAAGCCTGCAGATGATTAGAATTGCCGTTCATTAAAACAAGACTCGCTAGATACATGCCAACAAACTACAGTCCATCATTTGAAAGAAGGCCTTTCCAACTGTGCGTCTTAAGACGCATCGTAGTTCGTTTTGTTATTCAGCGAAGCGCGCGCAAGCATTGGCACGACGCACACGCGCGCACGGTTGCTATAATTCGTTGGATCAGTGCGCGACATCGCATATGGCTGCAATTCAAAACAATGATTCAGCAACTTTTGATTTGAAATTGAGATCCTAGAATGCTGTTTTTCTCGGAATGTACAGCTGAAGCTGAGCTGAAACTTCATCAGGTTAGTTGTGCAGTATCCGTCATTAGATTTTGAATACTGTTGTTGCTTCAAACGAACAAAATGCACAAATTACAAATGATGGACTATATCTTTAAAACAAGAAGACTCGCTAAATACATCAAATTCAAAACCTGCCAACAGACCCCAGCAAGTTTCTGTGATCAGGTGGTTAATTTAGGCATCAACTCACCACCCAATCGTCACACCATTCGTTGTCCTGGGGGATGATGCCACAGCAGGTGGTGACAGGGAAGCCAAACCTGGTGATGCACTCCACGTCATCACCCCCTCCGACCCGACTCTCATTGGCTGCTTTCTGCTTCAATAGTTCCTCGTTGAACTGATGCATCCTGGGGGGGGGGGGGGGGGGGGAGACGAGCATTAATGCTTTGACAACATAATTGGGCATTGACAAGAAGGATGATTCATCATTGTGAGAGGATGTAAAACAAATCTTAGGGAAAGTTTATTAAGAGACTGAGCAGAAAATATGGCTTTGCAGTGAATGTGCCCGTGGCATAGCCAAGGGGGGGGGGGGGGGGGGTGGGAGGCTGGGGGCACATCCCCCTCCCACAAATGCCATGTGCGGGTGCTTCTTTCTTTTTGCAATTAAACCAGAAGAGGAAAGTATAGGACTAGTATTTTACTGGATTCTTGTTCCCTTAAGCCTACAGATATAATAATCTGCATAACATGACAAAAAAAAGAGCGCCCTTAAGCGTCAAAAGAAGTCCAGCACACCCCCCCCCCCTCCCCCCACTCCTTGAGTTTGCAATTCCTGGCTGATCAGTTGGCTCTGAAAATTCTGGAAAAAAAAGGGTCTGCCCTTGATGCCCCATAGCATGCTGGTGCCCCCTGGGCCTCCCACTGAGAAAAATCCTAGCTACATCAGCAGTGAAAGTGTGCCCAGGATAAGTTACATGCAACACACACTTTTGGTTGGCAAGCTATAACAAGCAAACATATTTTTTTTGTATGCCTAGCCAATCTGTGTGCTTAACAGCTTTCAACATTCGTTTCTGCTCCAGCCATGTACAGATCTTGCAAAAGTTTCTCAAACGAGATGCTTAACAACTTAGGAACATGCCCTGTTACTACAACAACTGTCCATCTTTTAAATAACTGAAAACAAGCACTTTTAGCACAAGTTTGGGGAGTATTTGTCATGTTTGATGCCGCATAATTTGTAGATGCCAACCTGGCTAGCTGTTCACCCAGCTTGGCAGCGTGCGTATTCAAGCCTCTCATGTCCAGGTACTCCATGGCAAGAACGGCGCCCTCTGTTGTCGGGTGGCCCATCACCTTCATGGGTTTGGGAGCCCGGACTGTGTCTGTGGCAAGGATTGCTTCCAAGCATGCAAGCTCGCCATCAAACATTACCTTGGCCTGAAAAGACAAGAGAAATAAGAGAAAATTGAACAATGAGAACTTAATTTTTCTCATATCTGAAAGCATTTTGGAAAAACGAGACAGAACTGGGCACAGGTATCAAGGAAGGGACTAAAATTCTCAAAAAATAAGAGAAGATTCAACAATGAGAACTTAATTTTTCTCATATGTGAAGACGATTTGGAAAAACGAGACAGAACTGGGCACAGATCAAAACAAGGTTTTGTGGGTATCAAGAAAGTGACTGAAATTCTCCTTACAATACTGACTGTTGTTCCTTAATCGAACATTTAAATCGATTCTTTGCTGAATGGTCAATTCGTTGTTGCCTAAAATAACAACAAATAGGGGTGGAGCTCCAGATGAGATCAATTAATGATGTCCAATAGAATTGCAAGGATCAGGATTTGGTATTTGTTACTGACCAGTGGCGTAGGACAGCCCCCCCCCCCATGAAACCTTGTCCCCCCCCCAGTCGCCCCCCCCCCACTGAGATTTTTAGTTTCTAAAAAAATTATCATTGATCTACATGACGCCCCCATGAAATGTTCCAGCCCCCCAGCGCCCCCCCCCCCCCCCCCCCCCCCCACTGAAAAAATTCCTGGCTACGCCACTGTTATGTCAATAATTTGACGTTATTAAATATGTAGCATCTACCCTATTCACTGTTCATTAAATTCCATTATTTTTCTACTGACAAATTCTTAATTTTATGTTTTGTTTTACCATTATTTTTTTTTTGGGGGGGGGGGGAGTAACTGAAATTCTAAAAAAATGGCTTTTTAATTAGTGTGTTGCCTTTGGGAGTCAGGTTGGTGTAGCGGTACTTTCCTCGCCTTCCACCGCTGTGACCCAGGTTCGAATCCCGCCTGGGCCAACATGTGGATTGGGTTTTCAGTCCATACCTGATTCCGTGGGTTTTCCCCACAATATTCTTCTGGGGTTTTCCTCCCACCTCTAAAACTGTAATTTCTTCTCACTGTCTTCTCTGCACAGGTTTCTTCAGGCTTTTGAGCTAAAGAGGGATCCTTGGTTTCATTACCAGAAAGAAATAAAATAAATTAACAAAAAAAAAAAAATGTGATTTGAGTCAAAAATCTCAAGATGGGCTTGTGATTGACTCAATCCTTGGATAGTAACCTCTTTTTTCTTGTTGATCTTGGCGTAGATCTTGCCCTTGTCTGTGCTGTATCCTAACCCCTCATTGATGCAGCCTCCTCCTCCTTGACCGGTTGCCTTGACAAAGCTCAGTCCCAGTTCTCGCTTCAGTAATGCTTCCATTACGCAGGCAACTTTGAACTGGTCGGAAAGATAATAAAATACAAGTCTGCAATGGGCTTTGGTATGACTTTAATTGATAAAGCTCATTTTCCATTGGAAAATTTTCCAACGTCATTAGTAACTCAAGCTTATGAAAATGATGAACTTGTCTTTAAGGCCAAGCAAAAATTTAAAAAACACTAGGAAAGAATGTTGCATCCTGACGCTACTTCAGCGGTTGTGTACAAAGTCTATGGAGAGTCAAGAACATTTTCGAAGTATTTCCTAACAAAATTGGAAATGTTTGTCAGTCCCAGATTCATGTTTATCATTATTTTTGCAATGAGTGACCTTCATTGAGATGACACAGGTATATGAAGAAAAAAGCAGCATCAGGTTGCAACATTCTTTCCCAAAACAATGCTTATCTTCCCCACCTCTTTTTCTTTTGTTTATACAAAGTTTTATTTATTTAAAACAGTTCAAATACATTTTTCAAAAAAAAATTATACTGTCAATGTAGGTCTATTGTGTTTTTAGTTGTTTCCATCAAAAGTGTGTACAAATGGTTACAGTTCCTTAAGAAAATGAAGGAGTCCATCCTCTACAAAATTTGAAAAATCCGCCATCTTGGAAAACCAGAGAAAAAAACACCCACCTCCTTCAGTTCGTCAAATACCCTGGAAGAGAAATTCTTTTTTTTTGGACTGGGAAAAACTTATTCAAAGACATAAATATGAAAATCAACACAATCAATAGTTGAGACTTGAGTTGGCCAGGAAAATCAAGGAAAGAATGTTACATAATGATGCCACTTTTTTCTTTATCCTGATGCGATTAAGCTAAATGAGTAATTTGTTGACCATGGTCAATTTTTTTTCATTACAGATTTAAAAAGAGCACAATCTCAGCATTACTACTGTGAAAACCGCATGCTGGTACCATCTTTAGTTCCAAAATTATGAAAGTTGGAACACCAAGAGATGTGATGAAGTGATGTAAGGATGATCACATCACAATTATACAATAAACATCAACTGTCATCATCTCCATAAAGGTCACACGTTATAAAAAATGTTGAAAAGACATGAATCCGGGACTGAAAAACACTTCCAATTTTGCTAATTTAATAATAGAAAATACTTTGTAAATCAATGCACTCAACCATGTCAACTGTCAGGTGACTGTCCATAGACTTAAAGGGAATATACAACATTTGCAAACAACGAAAAATAAAACTATCACGTTTTTGCGAAATACCTTAACAGGATGTTGGTAAATGACAGTCTAAAGCATCCTGTAAAATTATGGCACCTGGTATACTGTCATTTTCAAGAAAAGTGGTATTTTTGTATCAATTTCCAACGCTGATCGGCCGATCAGCGTTGGAAACAACTGGCTTTTTATCAAATACTGGCCCCAATTGACCATTGCACTTGTTTGCAATCGATTACAAACCTATAAACGGGTACGAGCCAGCTAGACTGGTTCCCTGACCTTACAATTCCCCCAATGTATGTAAACTGCTCTGTTTCTTCTTATATGGAGTCAGGGAACCAGACTACAGGAAAATGATCGTTTTTCTTGGATTTTATAGCATTTTCGAACCCAAAACCTCCAAAAAGTTAGTGTAACTATATTTGCTTTATATTTCCGACCCCCCAATTCCACCCATTTCTGAAAATTACAGCAAAAGCAAATGATGTACATTCCCTTTAACTGTACTGTAGACAAAAAAAGAAGTGGTGTCTAAAATGAAACTGCAAAATGCCAATACTATGCCTCCAGACACCGAGTCTCAACGGTCCATGTCAATGTCATCCCTCATGACATAAACCATGGGACCTCCATGCATAAACCGTTGACTCGGTTCTCTGTTTAACATGTAGATCATTGTAGATCATTACTCATTAGATGGCATGACTGTTCAACGACGCGTCCGAAAACTGGGATTGGAAGTTGGAAGGAGGCAAAAGCAATTTCAACAAAAACAAATTTCGTTAAATAAAACAAACACAAAAATATATCGAATGAAAACACACTTTTACCAGCGCTACAGTGTGCGATTTCTGGTTTTTAATTAAAAAAATTCAGTCGGCTTTCATCATACAAAATTCGTTCCATGGGAGTCGCCATGTTGACTTTGCTCCTGCTACACACGTGACAAGCGCCCCCAACGACAGGTCTGCGGGTGATTAAATTCTTCGCTCGTACCCCCCGCCCTGCAGTCCTGTTTGCAGGGCGGGGGGTACGAGCGAAATTAAAATCCCGCTACGACAAGGGATATGGGGGGCCCGGGGGGGGGCGGGGGGCGGAGTGAATTCTGAAGTTTCTGGGTTCGAGTCCAGTCCACGGCTATGGTGCGCGTGCCCTTGGGCAAAGATACTTTAGCACTCATTGCTGCTCTCCACTGAGAACAGTCCGAGAGACCAGTGAGGTTTAATTATAGTCGCGCACACTAAATGCTGGCAGCGAGTAGGTGGGGGAGTCCAACCTTCGAAACCGTTATCTTAAGTGTCACACCCCGTGCGTTTGGGAGGGGGCACCGCCTATAAAGACCCCCTAAAAAATAACCTTTAATTAGAATATCGCGCACAAGCACAATTCTAACGCGAAAAGGTCGCCGATTAATTAATAATCAATGGCCAATAGTTTAAGAATGAGAAATCCTGTGCATTCCATGCTTAAGAATGGCCTAATTAGTGCTAATTATTCACCTTTAATTAGAATTTTGAGCACAAGAGCGAAACCTTCACTAAAAGCTTATTAACGTGACCAAAATGCAAGATTTGCAACTTAAGAATGGATTTTCTCGTGCATTTTGTGCATAATAACGACTACTTAGCCGCCCGTTAAGGAATAATTTTGTATGTGCTTACTTAGAATGTTGAGCACAACGACCATGCCAACACCAAACGATAGTGTATGAGTAAGAGTAGGCAGAATTTCAATTTAAGAATAAAACAAATCTGACGCAGAGCACAAACTTCTCTCCAAGGGTCTCAATTTTTGTCCCGCTCCCCGTTCTGTGAACCAGGTTCAGCTCAGCCAAGATCTCACGGAATACTACCGCAGAATCCGTCTGCGTGAGTTTTTTCTGGACAGTGAACCGTGTGAGCCAGAACCTTTTCGAGTCAAGAGTTCATGGGTACCCCCTAAGAATCGTGTGCCAGCCATAGAGACATACGTTCAAGTTATCAATTCCCAAGTCACTAACCCGGACAACTTCCCCCACAGGACTCATGATAATCTCCCCAGAGAGGAGCGCCTGGCTCTCAACTCCTTGCGCTCTCGCACCGACATCATCATCAAGCCAGCAGATAAAGGTTCAGCTGTTGTCATCATGGATCGTCAGCAGTACATTGATGAGGCCCACCGTCAGTTGGATAATCGCACTAACTATACCCGCCTTGACTCTGACCCCACAGGCACTTTCTGTCGAGATATACAACAGGTACTTGACGATATGCGATCACGTGACCAGTTGTCCAAGAAAGCTCACAAATTTCTTTCTCCCTGTGATTGTAGGACTGCCAGATTTTACCTTCTACCCAAGATTCACAAGGCTGGCAATCCCGGTAGACCCATCATCTCCGGTAATGGCTCACCCACGGAACGCATCTCCCTGTTCATTGACAGTTTTCTCAAACCCATTGTCCCACAGATTTCATCATACATTCACGACACCCCAGACTTCCTACGCAAGCTTGAAGGAATCAAGGACCAGATTCCCAGCACAGCCATCATTGGGACTTTCGACGTCTCATCTCTGTACACCAACATCCCACATGAGGAGGGTGTTCGTGCTTGCTCCTTGGCTCTGGCCAAGGCAGGACACACGACTCCTCCCATCAGTGATGTTGGCAACCTCATGAGACTTATACTAACGAAGAACAATTTTTCCTTCCTTGGTGAACACTATCTACAGGTACACGGCACTGCAATGGGCACTCGCATGGCCCCATCCATGGCTTGCCTCTTCATGGGTGACCTCGAAGAACGCATTCTTGCCTCGGCCCCATGTCGCCCTTGGATCTGGTGGAGATATATTGATGATGTTTTTTTCATCTGGACCAGCGATGAGGACAGTCTCTTGACCTTCACTAACCACATCAATTCCTTCCACAGAACCATCAAATTCACATCGGAGTTCTCGGCTCACCAAACCCACTTTCTGGATGTCACCGTCCGCAAGCAAGGCAACTCACTAACCACTGACCTGTATTCCAAACCCACAGACACCCACCAGTACCTCCACTCCTCCAGCTGTCACCCCAGGCACTGCAAAACTGGCATAGCGTTTAGCCAGGCACTCAGACTCAGAAGAATTTGTTCTAATGATTCCGATTTCTCCCGCCATACACAGGTACTGAGGAACAACTTGGTGGCCAGGGGTCACAGCTCTCGCCAAGTTCATCGTGCCATTGCCAGAGCTAAAGCTATCCCCAGAAATCTAGCTCTCACGGGAAAGGCCCCTGATGCCATGGCCCAACCCATGATTCCCTTGGTTACCACGTTTCACCCCAATCTCCCTCCCCTTCGCAAAATCACTAATGACAATCATCATATCCTCCATACTTCAGATCGCCTTGCCCGCGCCATCCCCAACGGCCCCACATTGGCTTACAGGCGTCCTCGAAATCTACGGGACTTGATTGTTCGAGCTGAAGTCCCATCCCTAGATGCATCCCCTCCCACCCAGCATGGTACTTTCAAGTGCAGTTCCAGATGTGTTGTCTGCCAGATTCATATCCAGGAGTCTGACTCCTTTTCTGGCCACTCTTCTGTCACTACCCACAGAACCATTGGTAACATCACTTGTAACACCCCCAATGTCATATATCTCATTTCTTGCAGGGTCTGTGGAGTGCAGTATGTAGGTGAGACTAAGAATACACTCAAGAAGCGTTTCTATGCCCACCGGTCAACGGTCAACACCAAAAAACTAGACACCCCTGTTGGTCATCACTTCAACCTGCCTAACCACTCCATTTCTGATATGATTTTGCAGGGCATTGAATCTCTTGGCCATCGCAAGGACTCAGTTCGCCTCAGCAGAGAGAAAGTGTGGATGAATCGTCTTCGAACTATTCAACCACATGGTCTCAACATCCAACTTGGAAATGATTAATCTTTTTCTTTCTCCATTGTCTTCTGTTACAGATAATCCACCTGGTCTTCATTGTTTGTGTTTACCCATCTTCCCCCATCTTTCATCCCTTTCCACCTCCATACTGTTCCCCCCCCCGCATAATCCCCCTTCACTCCCACACTCTTTTGTCCTTTCCCACTCCCTGTGACCTTTGATCCTTCCCCTTTCTGGTCCCTCCCCTGTTCATACCAGACCCCTTGTGGTTTGCCATCTCCCTTTGTTTCTTTGTTCTCTCATCCACCCTCCCCTGCATCTTTCCACACCTTTCCCACCTAATCCTCCTTTTGTGTTTCTTCTTTCATCCCTGCTTGTTTGTGTGCACCCCCTTGTTAATGTTTGTACCTCTGTCATTTCTGTTTTAGCCTCTGAAGAAGAACTTGCTAAGTTCGCAACGTCAGGCCACATTAATTTTTAGATTAATAAAACAAATCGTGCAAAATGTACTTATTAAGAACAGCTTTATTACCGTTTATGATACGGAGGCCGATTTCTGAAAAACATGCCGCCATAGCGAAACATTTCGCAGTGCACATGCACAAAATGCATGTTGTGGGATCGAGTCCAGCCTGTGGCTTGCCATGGTGCGTGTTGGCAAGGTTCTTTGTCCCCCCCCCCACCCAGGAGTAAATGGGTACTTGAGAGGGTCTGTTTCTTAAACGTTCTTCAAACCCGTGTATATAATTATGTAGCTTTTCATAATGAAATAAAATGGGCTTATGACTACAAGGAAGTTATCTAAGCTTGAAATAAAACAATATGCCCCGAATTCACAAGATAATGGGAAAAGATTGCAACATTGATACCCACTCACGTGTAATCAGGGTTGATAGAAAATTTCACTGTAGCAAAGCTTAAAAACACACAGGATTAATAAAAGACTGTCTGCTATCTCTCGTAACAATGGAGCGCCCAGGTAGGCCTATAGGTAATCATTGACTCACGTCTGAGGTGCAGCAGGACTGTTCAATGTTTACTTCTGGAGGACTGCATGCAAAATAGTCGTTGATAAATTTACGGTGTGGTTCAGAATTGATTTTCTTAACAGCCCTACTATATTTTGTAACCCCAAGCCCCGGCCTTGAAACATGAAACATCCGTAGGACCAATCCGTCGCTTACATTATAATAATCCATCCGTTGAATACTTCAAAAGATATGCATGCATGTCTGTATGAACATATACGTTAAAAAATGGCGTTCATGAAGAGTGCTATCCTGGTCTGTGTGACTGCGGTGCTGACGGTGTACCTACCGCAACTCTGGACCAAGACTCGTCCCATCATCACTGCAGGAACTGTACAGCCTGGATTCGAACCAGTCGCCAAACTCTTCAGGTAACCTTTTTATCCCTGTAGGCTACATGCAACTTTTTAAAGGGGCTTCTGTTGGGGCCTACTATCGACTTTATAAGTTTCGAAGAGAGATATTAACCAATTCACTTCGTCTGATACAGATTAATTAAGGTGTTTAGGACAACACTCAAGAAAGCGGAAATCATCTTTTCAATGAGCTAGGATAATGAGAAGGCTATATGCGTTTAAGCTGAAATAGTATACATTTGGTTAAAAGAAGATATTGAGTCGGGGTGAAATGGGATTTTTTTCGCATGGGGATTTTCTACAGGGAGAACTTCGAGAATGGAGTAGAATATCCAACGGCTGGTTCAGCATTATCGGTGTACTACAAAGGGTCAAAGGTCGTCGACATCTGGGGAGGCTACGCGGACAGTGAGGCAGGACGGCCATGGAAGGAGGACACTTTGACTGTAGTCTTCTCTGCTACAAAAGGTAATGAAATGTTGTGATGTTGACGACAAAGGGAGGGGAAGGAATCATAGGTCAAAAAAAGTGCATACCTCTTTCATCTGATAAAAGAGCGCCCCGATCTGTCAAAGAAATTCTGTGATGGGAACTCAAGTGGTTTTAGAACTTGTAACACCAAACGAGAGGAGGCAATCCTCAACCAACTTTAAAGGCGTTCCATGCATAATGGTTAAAAGTTGTGTAACGTCGTCTGAGCGGGCCCAGGGATTTCGCGACACAGCAAATCAAGGGGGAAATTCAGTTGGCCAAACCATGGGGAATATAACGGCCTTAACCCTCCGACGCAGAAAGCCTATTTACTAACACGCTTGCAGTAAGGGGTCCCTCCGGGGACCCAGATATTTAGCGCCTTGGTTTGAGGCTACACAACACTTTATCTATATGTACACAATCTCGACATGTCTGTAGACTATAAATAAGGAGGTCATTGACAGGAAACAGATGTTGTATACATAGTCTGTGGTCAAGTCGTGCACTGGCTACCCGCAAGTGACCTTGTTTTGTGCACGTGTATATGGGCAGCCCAGGTTGTCAGGCTCAGATATGCCTGACCCGGGGTCACACACTAAAGGTGACTGCATATATCTGTAGAGGATGTCTCTTGCTAGGATTAGATGGAAGATCACCAGAATTGGTTTGAAATGTTTTTTTTTATTAAGGTAATTAACCTAATTGGGTCCCCAAAAGGGCTAGTTTCTGCGTCGGAGTGTTAATGAAAACGTAATTGACAGAATTATTGAGGATCATCCAGAGGTAATTCAAGAACTGAAACTGTGCACACCATCTTGGTAATCTCTGATTTATTGAACTTAGAATAATATAAAACAATTACTCAGGACAAACGTTAAATCCACAATTACTCACCACAAAAAGTAAGTCCACGTATACGTCCTACCTAAACAGACACCAGGCCTTGTCTGCCTAAACTTAACTATAAATAAGAATATGTGCATGTGCACGCTGCGCGCCAAATGTAGTACAAATGTATACAATTGTATACAATTAAACTTATCAAAATTCAGCAATTAAGGCTGCGTGCGTTGCTGCGCTTTACAATCGCTGGGTGCAGCGCCCCCAGAACATTTTGTTACAATACTCTCAAGTCTGTGTCTGCTTAGAAATTGCTTGTCTCTAAATATTATAGGCATGGCTGCCTTGTGCATGGCTGTTCTGGTGGACAGGGGTCACCTTGACTACGACAAGACCGTGGCTTCCTATTGGCCAGAATTTGCCCAGAATGGCAAAGAGAACGTCACAGTGCGTACGCTCCTGAACCACCAGGTAAGAAGACGTCTGAAACGTAGAGATCGATCGATGGTCTTGATCTGACCAATAAAACCATTTAGCAACTTCAATGCTTCATCGCCATTTTTCTAGTTTTCAGTTCTTCCTTGAGTCTGCAATTACACATAACAAACGATAAATTCGAGCATGGAAATGAATGAATACAACCGTCAGCTTGACATGTCTCACTTTATCTTTAAACTCCGTACATTCCTTAATGTATTAAACTTTGCCACTGTTGTTTATAAGACATGTAAAGATTGAAAACGAAGAACCCAACTGAACTCTTATTTTTTTTAATGACAGGCTGGTCTATCTGAAATCAGCGACGAGGATACCTATGCTCTATTGGGGGACCAAGATGCATTAGGAGAATTCTTGGCGCGGTATGCCCCCGAATGGGAGCCGGGTACGGCGCAGAGATACCATTCGTGGTCCTTCGGTCTGTACGCCAGCCAGGTCTTGAGACGCGCCGATCCCAAGCACAGGACACTGGGCCAGTTCTTCAAGGAAGAGATCTCTCAACCATTTGGTACATTTCCATTGCAGTACATATTTGGGGTCTCCATTACTTTTATTTAAATTTAAATTTGCACTGACATTTCAAATTAGTGGGAGGATATTACCTGATCTGAGGCCATCAGGACAATGTAAGGTTGTCTACCAAATTAGGTAGTGAGCCATGAAATCGATTGCCAATGCCTGTTGACGGGCACTAACCAGATACCATACACCAGTATACATGTACATGCTGCCAGGGAGAATGCCCAGGTGGCCTTAGAGATGTTTCATCCAGGAATACATTTTCCCTCAGAATCACTAGTTTTATATTAAGTGGAAATGGGAAGGCAAAGGTTTACAGCTTAGACTTTGAACACGTGGCGTGAAGGGGTCTACCCGATGTTCCCCAACACCAATGTTCCCCAATACATATATGTTCCCCAAAATCCCTTAGGGTTAGGGTTAGATGCATAGGGTTAGGGTTAGGTTTGGGGAACATATAGGTACTGGAAAACAGAGGTATGGGGAACATAGGTATGCACCCGATTATAATGTTGTCAATGATGGGTACCATGTTGAACCATTACCTCATTGTCATCTTTGTTTTTATGTTCCCAATGTTCAAGCTGTTGATTGGGTGTTATTTTTTAGAAGACAATGCAGAACTCTAGAGACCTTCCATTCTTGATTGTATTTTCTTTTCTTGGTTTGTTTTGTGTGGTGACAGGCATTGATTTTCACATCGGTTTCCCCTTGGAATTGTACCACCGCTACCCGCGTTTGTCGTGGGCCAGCGCTTACATGTGGTTCAAGGAGATGATGAGCAGTCCGATTATGCGCGAATTCATATGGCAGAGGGTGAAGACTGGTGAACTGGGAGCGATCTTTAAGCCAGCAGAGGTAACTTTAAAAAATTATCATATTCAGTCATTACCCGAAATATGACTTTTATATGGCGTCAAAAAGGTTTCACGTAAAGCAGGGTAAAGTTCAAAGCAAAGGGTTTCATGTGAAGCAATGAAAAGTTCATAACATTTGTGTCTCATGAGCAGGTCGGGGCAGTGTTGTAGGACTCTAGTCCGGGACTCGTACTCGATTCACATTGTTCGTGACTCGGACCCGACTCGAGTCACATTGGAAAATGACTCGGACTCGGACTCGGACTCGACCATGCTGACTCAGACTTGAGCTTGGTGACTCGCGCGAGATCGTGAATGTAGACCGGTTATTTTCTCCAGACACTTAGGCCTCCGAAAATCAATAGGTGGTGGTGGGGGGGGGGGGGGGGGGGGGGGGGGGGGGCTCATGCCATATTTTCAATGGGGAGCGCCAATAAAATCCTAAAATCATTCACACTATATTAACTAATGCACCCTTGTCACGACTATTTCTTTAGGGGGAGACCGTTCGCATGTACATCACAATCCTTCTTTCGGCTAATGCCATTTATTTTTACGGAATTTATTTTGGGGGGGCTAGACAAACAAATTTTGCCACCACCCCCCCCCCCCCCGTAGAACCGCGCCTGACCATTTAGCACTGTTATTGGAGAGAGGGAAACGACTGAAATGGTGTCAGCATGGTAAAGGTCTAAGGCGAGCCAAACAGCGATAATTGCTGAGTTTGAGGAAAAAAATTGCTTCATTAAGGAAATTGTCGAAAAATGTTGTAATTGCTATACAACTGTACTCAGTATAGTGATATATTTTTGTACCTTTATCTTTTTAATATCGTTAATTTTCTATGAGTGGAATTTTAAATCTTGCTTTTATTGTTGGCATGGGTCTGGATAATAATACACATTGATTGATGACAGTTTGACTTTTGTATTTCCGTGACAGCCCTTACTCGGCATATATTTAAAAGGACTGACGATTTCAAATGAATAAATATAGTAAATAAATAATGTCTCGAGAGACATAATAAATCTTTGGAGAAATTAAGAAAGTGTGTCTCTTTTAACTTTTAGTTCCAGGAATTCATGATCCCCGAGAAACTAGCCCTCGAACAGCCGTCGGCCTACGGAGTGGGAACGGCCCGTGCTCTCGCTAAAGTCTACGGAACATTAGCCAATGGTGGAGCCACACTGAAAGGTCAAAGGTTACTTTCTGAGGACGTCATGAAACAATTCACGGATCAGGCACAAGTAGAAGCTCTGGGAATTCCAGATGGAACTCCAATTATTTTAAACCTAGGATTCTTCATTGATGAGGTGAGAAGTTTTCTGTGTTATGGGATCGTTCCAAAACGAGTGGAAATCCGGAGTGTTGTGTGTCAAACCAATGCTAATCAAGATAAAGTTTCGAGAAAGTAAATTCGGAAGAAAAAAAATTTGTCGAGTACCTTCGGATTGCCGACATTGTGTCGATCATTGCTGTTAGGTCGGGGCCCGCTCTCCGAAGGTTCGATAGTCCGACGGTTCTTTAAACTTCGTATTGATGTCGTTTCTGTTACAGAAGGCGAAACGGTTCGGCCACCCTGGGGCAGGGGGCCAGCACGCTATTGCCGACCCTCAACACAAGCTGGGCTTCGGATATGTCTCCAGCTTCCTGTCCACGTACACCGTTGGGAGAGACCACCGCTTCCACCCACTGCTAGAGGAGACCTACAAGTGCATTGAGAAACTGGAGGCAAAATAACCGTCTCGTGCTGAAGATGGAGGCAATAGTTTTGTGACTGTTGTCGAGTGCTTGGCCGCTGTTTGATCGCCGTTGTTGTTGTAAACAAACGAGAGTTAAGAAATATAGCTAAAACTATCAGAAAAATTGTTACAAAAGAAAAAAAGACATTCAATAGTTGTATAACAAAAGGTTAAAAGTACATGCAAGCGAACCTAAAATGTAATTGGATTATTATATTTCATTTAAGTACAATTAGTATATATATCGTTGTAGTTTTTAGCTGCGATCGTTAAGAATTTTTCAAGCTAGGTGTTGAACTTTCCTTTTTATTGAAAGTTTGTTACTTTTTAAATTTTTTTAAACCAAATTGTATTTGAATAATCGTTGTAGATTTTAGCTGCTTTAATTGGTTTAATTGTTACGGAATTTTGAACGGAACAACTCTTGATTTCGTGAAGATATATTTTGCTGTAGTGTGTCGGCTTTTGTTTTTGCCAGAGCTTCTTTGTATTGCATCTCATAATTATTAGACACTATAAAGATAGTTTTTATTGCACTCTGCCTTCTCCAAGATATGCGAGTGGATGTACGTGTGCTTATGTCAGTTCCCCAGCTCTTCCCCAGCGCTTATAGTAACGCCGCTGATTCAGATGAACGCCGAAGGTAACATCACAATTATCCCCAATGTCTTCACTTACAAAACAAAATTTAATCCGATTTTGTTTTGTAAGTGAGAAAAAAACTGTGATGACCCATCCTTCATTTCAACAGGTGACAATCGGATATCCTCATTGTATGAACATTTTGTTTGTTTTGGAGATTGGTACGGTGCTGGAAAGTTTGGACGTAAAGTGTTATAAACATTTTCAAACACTTCTTGAATCACTGTCAACTTTGGCTTTTCCTTGATGGACATCTCTACAGTTACTATATTTTGTTCACAGCAAACACTCGAAAACAAATAAACCAAATTTCTCAAACAAAAAACTTTGCCGGAGTTTCCTGAAAAGATATGGACAAATATGGGGAAGATAAAAAAAAATTGACATCAATGAGAAGGACTTTATCAATGTTATCTTCTGTATGAACAAAAATACTTAGTAAATGCTGATTCACGCAAGGTACAATTACTCCGTACTGTTTGCTGTTGGCAAAAAGTCGTCTGTTCAGTACTTTGCCTCTTTTGTTGAGGTCGTTGATTTTTGCCTAGTAACCGTGCGATACTTCAACACGAGCGCCCATTGAAACATGAAACATTCGTAGGACAAATTCATCACTAGTCTACCAAACACCACCATGTCTGGTTTTATTGGCTTGATCATCGAACAAATTAGAACAAGTTCAATAATAGTAATAATAATGACACTTACACAAAATGTCTCAAAGCGCTTCACAAATTTTAAAAATCTATAAAAGGGAGTGGTAATTTACAAAATGATCTTACATGCAAACAAGGGCGGATCCGGAGGGGGGGCAAAAGAGGGCCATGCCCCCCCCCAAAAAAAAACACAACGAAACCAATTGTTTTATATTGTTTTTATGTGACATCGCAATAAAGGCAGGCAATGAGTACACCACCATCTTTTCCTAAAAAAAAACATTGGTTAAAGTGGTCAGAAATTGCCTCAGATCGCACCACAGAGTATCTAGAATCCAAAAAAATGTCCGGGCCCTTAAGCGGGCCCCGAACCCCACGCCGTAATTTTTCTGACCCACTTTTCGGGGGACCAACATTCTTTTTGCCCCCCCCCCCCAAAAAAAAAAATTGTGTTCTGGATCTGCCCTTGCATGCCTATCTACCAAAAACACACGAAATTTCCATGAAAATTACAAAAACATTACAAGTTAGAATTACAAGTTCGACTAAAAACAGTAAAAACAGCTGGATGAATACAAAAATACCTGTTTCATACTTATCCAAATTTAATGGACGAGCGTAGTGAAGGCTTCGACCTTTACAACCAGAAAATCAATTCATAAAACCCGACGTAGGCCTACATGAACAGCTATAGTGCTCTTCTTGTCTACGTTTATACCGCAGTGCTGAATGCTGATTGTCGCCGTATGGACGAATTTTACAACATTTAACCTAGGACTATCGGAGAAAAACAAATCAGAAGAAAAACTAGAAAAAATCTTGGCAACGCCCAAGACGTTAATTAAGTTCCAGGGGTTTATCAACCCCCATTTTTTTTTCTCGAAAATGCTGTGATCAGCTGATGACCTATCTGCCCCCCCCTCAAGTGCATTTGTCGCCGATCCGCCCTAATTGGTAACCCTATTGAAATGCTGCCCCCTTAACCTCTCGAGAGGTCCCGCCCACTGAAAACAACACTGTCGCGGCATTCGTGGCGTCGTCCATTAATAATTCTAAAGGGTGCAGATCTGTATATCGACTCCCTTAGACCCCATTGATAATTACGCGCACTTCCAAGATTGTTAATAATACTCGCAACTCTCCAAGGTATTGGAACACCCATCACTCTAAAGCTTTTCATCATCTTTCATTTTCCGCTCAATTGTTGGGTGGTGATATGATGACTTTTGGGATAAAATTCCATCCAAAAATGATCACCCCTAAAAGTAGTCCTGTGGCCAATCGGCAGTTTGAAAGAAAACAATGATGCCAGCATGCGCTCCATTGCAAAATTTACCAAATTTAGGGTCCCGAATTTTACAAATCTACGAGCTAGCAGTCCTCTGCATGGCTTTGACTCATTTTTTTGCAAACCTTCAAGTTCGAATGACCCACAAAATGCTCTGAATAGCATTATAGAAACAAAATAGAGATCATACAAATAGTGATTTGGCCCGCGTAGGCAATTCTGGGCCTATTGACAGGTTTGCAGCGCTAGTGCAATGCTAGGCTACAGGCCTTCCTGTTAAACCTGACCTTCACCCGGGCAAGCTGCCTATACTTCAAAAGCATTTGCACTGAATTTCTGTAAAAGTTAAGGGCATACAAGTAGTGGGCCCGTTAGGAAAATCATTATTAGGGCCTATCATCAGGTTTGCACCGTTACACGTACCTACAGTGCTATTTTTCCTTCGGCGGTCGGCCTGCAAGTTATACCTGACCTTCATCGAACAAAGGGCAAGCTGCCTATACTTCAAAAAGCAAATTTGCACTGAATATCGGTTGTACAGTAAAAACATGGCGTTCATGAAGAGTGCTATCCTGGTCTGTGTGACTGCGGTGCTGACGGTGTACCTACCGCAACTCTGGACCAAGGCTCTGCCCATCATCACTGCAGGAACTGTACAGCCTGGATTCGAACCGGTGGCCAAACTCTTCAGGTAACCCCCAATTTTTTTCACGGCAGGCCTACATGAAACCCTTTTAATGAGTTTAAGTTTCGATTATACTAAAGATATCTACCAGCTAGCATTGTCTAACGGTTGAGAGGACGAAATTAACTTAGGCGGGAATCATCTTTGCGATAAGCTTATGTTTATTTGCGAGGCTTAGATTGTATTACATGCCACAAGTAGATGTGAGAATGAGGATTTTTTCATTTCAAAAAGTTAATTCAACAAAATTGTCTACAGGGAGAACTTCGAGAATGGAGTGGAATACCCGACAGGTGGTTCAGCATTCTCGGTGTACTACAAAGGGTCAAAGGTCGTCGACATCTGGGGAGGGTACGCAGATAGTGAGGCAGGACGGCCATGGAAGGAGGACACTTTGACTATAGTCTTCTCCGCTACGAAAGGTAGTGACAAATTGTGCTGTTGAAATGGAGGGGAATGAATTAAGTGCATTCACCTTTGATTTGACAAAAGAACGCCCCCATTCGGTTAAGTTTTTAATGGGATCTCAAGCGATGTTAAGTTGTAGCACCAAAGGAGAGGAGGCAATTCTCAACCGAGAATGAAAGCGTTACATACGCTGAAGGTAATTATATACAATTTTAAGTCTGTGTCTGCTCAGAACAATTTGCTTGTCTCAAAAATATTGTAGGCATGGCTGCCTTGTGCATGGCCGTTCTGGTGGACAGGGGTCACCTTGACTACGACAAGACCGTGGCTTCCTATTGGCCAGAATTTGCCCAGAATGGCAAGGAAAAAATCACAGTGCGTACGCTCCTGAACCACAAGGTAAGAAGACGGCTAAAACCTATGACGATTTTGATCTGATCAATAAATCGATGGCGGGTATTTACAAAACTTGCAATTCATTGCCAGATTAGTTTCCATGCAGTTCTACCTTGATTTTGCATTACTAAAAAACTTTATACGTTAGCCTAACAACTACCGATGAAATTGGAGCTTGGAAATGACTGAACACAGTCGTCAGCTCAACCTGTCTTTCTGTATCTTGAATCTCGCCTCGTATTCCTTACAGCACAATTAGTAAAGATGCCACAGTGGTTTAGACATGACGATACTGAATATCGAACAACCCAACTAAATGCTCCTTTTTTAATGGCAGGCTGGTTTATCTGAAATCGGCGCCAACGTTACTCTACTGGGGGACCAAGATGCGTTGGGAGAATTCTTGGCACGGTATGCCCCTGAATGGCAGCCGGGTACGGCTCAGAAATACCATGCGTTGTCCTTCGGTCTGTACGCCAGCCAGCTCTTGAGACGCGCCGACCCCAAGCACAGGACACTGGGCCAGTTCTTCAAGGAAGAGATCGCTCAACCATTTGGTATTTAATCTGCACATCATTTTAATATCAGTATATGATTGAAGAAAGAAATTACCTGAAGTGGGATATGGACCTGAGACCATCGGAACAACGTAATGCTCTACCAAATTAGCTAAGCAGCTGTGATAGCTGTCTTATCGATTGCCAACGGTCTTTCACGGGCTCTAACCAGAGGCCACACTTGCCAGGGAGCATAACGTTTCCCATAGAATTACCTGCATCTTATATTAAATCTATCGAAGTGGAAATGGTAAGGAAAAGGTTCTTAGAGTATAACACTACTCCAAGAACGCCACACACAATTTACTTTGAACATATGGCGTTTATGGATTGATTAATAATGTTGTCCATGTATGTTGAACCATTACCACATTGTCATCTTTGTTTTTCGTTCTCAATATTCAACCTGTTGGTATTTTTGTTTAGAAGACAGAGCAGAACTCAAGGGAGATTCCATTCTTGATTCCATCTTCTTTTCTCGGTTTATCTTGTGTGGTGACAGGCATTGATTTTCACATTGGTCTCCCCTTGGAATTGTACCACCGCTATCCGCGTTTGTCCTGGGCCAGCGCTTACATGTGGTTCAAGGAGGCGATAACCAGTCGGCTCATGCGCCAATTCATATGGAAGAGACTGATGACCGGGAAACTGCAAGCGGTCTTTCAGCCAGTACAGGTAATCTCAAAAACAAATATTTAGTAATTACCCGTAATCAGATGTGATTATTCATGGCTTTATGAAAGCAGCCTTGTAAAGGTCAAAACCTGGCGTCTGTTCAGGTCATAACAAAAAAGCTTCTGGACAGGTCATAACATGGCGTCTGCTCAGGTTATTTCGAGGCGTCTGGTCAGGTCATAACATGACGTCTGGACAGGTGATAACATGGCGTCTGGAGGTCATAACATGGCGTCTGGTCAGGTCATAACATGGCGTCTGGTCATGTCATAACACGGCGTCTGGACAGGTCATAGCATGGCGTCTGGACAGATCATAGCATGGCGTCTGGTCATGTCATCAGACGGCGTCTGGACAGATCATAGCATGGCGTCTGGACAGATCATAGCATGGCGTCTGGTCATGTCATCAGACGGCGTCTGGACAGATCATAGCATGGCGTCTGGACAGGTCATAGCATGGCGTCTGGACAGATCATAGCATGGCGTCTGGTCATGTCATCAGACGGCGTCTGGACAGATCATAACACGGCGTCTGGACAGATCATAGCATGGCGTCTGGACAGATCATAGCATGGCGTCTGGTCATGTCATCAGACGGCGTCTGGACAGATCATAGCATGGCGTCTGGACAGGTCATAGCATGGCGTCTGGTCAGGCCTTAACATGGCGTCTGGTCAGGTAAGCCGTTTTTTTCATTGTCATATTTCATGAACGGTACGACATCAGGTAATTTAGGTTAGTTTCTTTCCAGCCAGACCTTTGAAAAGGACAAGTATTAAAACGATCTTATACATAAACATTTCAGCGATCTCATGACATGGGTACATGATCTCATGTACCCGGCCTTAAAACAAATAAAACAAATAAGTATGTCTCGAAAGACGGAATAAAACTCACTAGGATAAATCAGAAAAGTTTTATTAAATTTGATGGTTTCGTTCTTCGCTAACTTATCACAGTGACTGACCTTCTTAAAACAGTGGGAGTTTCTCTCTTTTTTACATCCAGTTCAATGAACTCATGGTTCCCGAGATACTAGCCCTCGAACAGCCGTCGGCCTGGGGAGTAGGAACGGCCCGTGCTCTCGCTAAAGTCTACGGAATATTAGCCAATGGTGGAGCCACGTTGAAAGGTCAAAGGTTACTTTCTGAGGCCATCATCAAAAAGGTTATGGATGAGGTAAAGGGAACTCCAGTTGGGATGGATGGATCAGCTGTTGCTTTCAACCTAGGATTCGCTATTGAAAAGGTGAGAAGTTTTCTTTGTCATGGGATATCGATGAAAAACGAGGGAAATCTAATAAAAAGTAAATACAAACAATCTTTAGGGTGGGTTTATTGGAGGATGCAGTGCCGTGTTTCGACCCAGATACAGATGTTTCCAATGAGCAAAATTTTGGGTTCACAATAACAGAAAACCCTAAAACCTTTACAATGTCTTCCTGAAATGACACCGAATCAACGTACAGCGCCCTCAGTTGTCCAGAAAAGCATGGACAATTTTAAATGTTTAAAGAAATACACTTTTCATAAAATTAACCAAAAAGGGATGTCAAATAATGTTCATACATTTCAGAGGAGTAAAAAGTTTCACAAACTGTCTTCCAAAAAAATGTCTTTTCATAGACCCTTTAATCCAAACGTTCGATAGTTCGAACACACAAATCAAGTTTTTATACCCGGGGGTTCATTAGTCCGAAAATGAAACAAGGTTCGTTAATCCGAACTATTGATGCGATAGCCCGAAGGTTAATAATCTGAAGGTTCTTTTTATCCGAAGGTTCGATAATCCGACGGTTTATTTGTCGGAGTGTTCAATAGGCCGAATTAGAATAGGGTTAATTAGTCCGAAGGTTCATAAGTCCAAAATGAAAACAAGGTTAAATAGTCCGAAGGTTTATTAACAGAAAACCACATACAATGAATACGTGGAACACTTTAATTCCCTTCAACCTTATCTGGATCGGACTTTATTGTTGGTTCGTTACTATTGATCGTCTATTTGGACTATCGAACTTTTGGATAATTTAACCTTATTTTATTTTGGGACTTATAGAACCCTTCGGATTTTGGAACCTCCCAAATAACGAATCATCGGACTAACAAGCAGTAATCTTGTCTTTTTATTGGTCACTTCTTTGTACTTGCGCGAGCATCTGTTACGCATGTGCTGTCCCCCGATATTTTTTTTTTAAAGTTCGTCAAATCAGAGCTCTAAAGATTCGTCCAATGAGATGTCGAAGAAATTAAAGGTCATCAGCAATAGATAAGGCGGTGGGAACCAGAAAACCTCCTTTTTAATGTCGTTTCCGTTTAATACAGGATGCCAAACGGTTCGGCCATCCAGGGTTAGGGGGCATGCACGGCATTGCCGACCCTCAACGCAAGCTTGGCTTCGGATATGTCTCCAGCTTCCTGTCCACGTACACCACTGGGAGAGACCACCGCTTCCATCCACTGCTAGAGGAGACTTACAAGTGCATTGAGAAACTGGAGGCAAAATAACCGTTTCGTGAAGTTTTGGAAAAGATGGTTGTGTCGTGTGCTTGGCTACTGTTTGATGATCGTTGTTATTGGTGTTGTGAACAACAGAGTAAACAAACAATGAGTAAAACACATCGTCAGAGACACCACGAAGTAATACCCAAGTGAAGTTGGGTTCGCGCTACGTGAGCGTATATTACAGAACCGAGTGATTTTCGTTTTGATTAAGTAACATTCGTCTTTATTTCACCCGTTTGAAGCTTTTTTTTTTATTACAATTGTCTATAAATTACAAGACCACACGGATTAATTATATTCCTGTCAATTTGTAATTGTTTTCTCTCTGGAGTCATTCTATTTGTTTGTTTTTTTAAGATAAATAGTATTTCCGTAACAGTTGTGTAACTTTCTAAAAACGCAAATCGCAGTGTTACTTCGTGAAACCAATATGTGTCATTAAGCGGTTTTCACGAAGCAACACTGAAGAGGACTTGGGTGTTACTTCGTGGTGTCGGTGACGATATATCGTTAAAACTAGTAAAAAAAATTCAAAAGAGAAACTGACATTAAGAAGGTGTAAACCCTATGCAATCTTTTTAAAAGGTTAAAAGTATAATTAAAAGTGCAATGTAAGTGAATAATGTTAAATTTAAGTACATGTACAATAATTAGTATTGAACCGTCAAATGGGGTAACTGGTCATTTTTGAGACATATTTAACTACTGCTTTTATAACAAACCTGGTAAATTGGAATCTCCGAAATATTTAGAACATTCAGACTAAATTCTGCACTTTGGTGTTGTTTGGTTGCACAAATAGTATTTAACAAGGGGGTGGGGGCCCGCAAGATGCGACCCCAGTCACCTCCATTTTGGGGCAACATTAGCCAGCCCTAATAATTCCTATGGACAAGAAATATCACATTGTCAAAATTGTTTCCTTCCAGGTGAAAAGTAGATAAAATAAACATTCGAGCCTAGATTCCTGAAAAAAATAACCGGTTTTTTTCCATTCCAAAGTCCTCCTTCATGCCATTTGACCTTTGACCTTCTTGTCCCTTGACCTCTGACTTTGACCTTTTAAAGTTTGACCTAATATAATTATCCGCTTCAAATCTACAAGTGCATTAAACTTTGCAGTTTTCTGAAACTAATAATATAAAATTTACTGAAGAAATCTTGCTTCCCAGAGATTTATATTCACTTGTAACTAAAATATCGGTGCTGACCAAAGTTACCTTACTGACCAAAGATACCCCATCTTACGGAAGTTATTGGTTGCGGTCGTTGTGATCGTTAAGAATTGAACGAATTTTTCTCATGATACTGAAAAGTTTGGACATGAAGTGTTAAATTTGTAATACACTTCTTGAATCATGGACAGAATATTTATAGGGACGACAGACCGACAGACTGACCGACCGACAACAAAGTGACTTGTAAAACTTCGCTCTTTACTAGAGCTTAAAAATTCTATCCAAAGGTGGTCAACCCTGTACGTAGTCCTGTGGCCAATCGGCAGTTTGAAAAATGATGCCTGCGTGCGCTCCATTGCAAAATTTACCAAGTTCATGGCCCAATTTCATCCGAATTTCACGAGCTGTAGCAGTTCTCTGCATGGTGGCAAGTCGGTAATTGTTGTGCGTACCTGCATACTGGCTCCATACGCACGCCTTTTAGCGCTGCAATGCGCGAAGATTGGTTCTCAGACCAACTAATGCTGTTCACCCGGCCGGTTACGTACTTTTACAAGCCACGCCGATGGAGTTCGACTGAAGTTTGACAAATACAGATATCTAACGATTTGTCATCAAGTCTACCCTCTGCATGGCTTTGACTGATTTTTTTCTCAAACCTTCAAGTTCATGACCCACAAAATGCTCTAATAATAGGATACCATTGCGGCATACAAATAGCGGGCCCGCGTAGGCAAATTAATGCCTATCATCAGGTTTGCACCGTTCACGTACGAACAGTGCCATGCTTCGACCTGCACGTAGTATACATGACCTTCATCGAACAAAGGGCACGCTGCCGATACTTCAAAAGCCTTTGCACTGAATATCTGTAGAATACATGTAGTTCAAACATGGCGTTCATGAAGAGTGCTATCCTGGTCTGTGTGACTGCGGTGCTGACGGTGTACCTACCGCAACTCTGGATTAAGACTCGTCCCATCATCACTGCAGGAACTGTACAGCCTGGATTCGAACCGGTGACCAAACTCTTCAGGTAACCCCTTGATTTATGTGCCAGCTAGCATTAATTGTCTAACGGTTGAGAGCACGAAATTATTTATAGGCTCTGCGATAAATGTTAGGGGTATTTGTATTAAGGCTTAGATTATATTACATGTTACAAGAAGATATGAGAATGGGGAAATGTATTTTTTTCTTTTGAAAAATTCAACAACATTTTCTACAGGGAGAACTTCGAGAATGGAGTAGAATACCCAACGGGTGGTTCGGCATACTCGGTGTACTACAAAGGGTCAAAGGTCGTCGACATCTGGGGAGGCTACGCGGACAGTGAGGCAGGACGGCCATGGAAGGAGGACACTTCGACTATAGTCTTCTCAGCTACAAAAGGTATAGTGATTCCTGCAGATGACGACTTCTATTGAAACTTAGGGAAATGCATGAATTGCGTGCATTCACCTTTTGATCTGAAAAAGAGCGCCCTCAATCGGTAACATTTTGATGGGATCTCAAGCGATTTTAAACATTGTTGCACCACAGAGGAGGCAATTCTCAACCGAGAAGAAAAGCGTTACATAGGCTGAAAGTAATTATACATAATCTCAAGTCTGTGTCTGCTCAGAACTATTTGCTTGTCCTTAAATATTTATAGGCATGGCTGCTTTGTGCATGGCTGTTCTGGTGGACAGGGGTCACCTTGACTACGATAAGACCGTGGCTTCCTATTGGCCAGAATTTGCCCAGAATGGCAAGGAGAAAATCACAGTGCGTTTGCTCCTGAACCACGAGGTAAGAAGAGGGATTGGAACGTATTAGACGAGTTTGATCTGATCACTAAATCGATGGCGGGCATTTTAGCAACTTGGTATTAGTTTCCGGTTCTACCTTGATCCTGCATTCCTAAAACATTCGGGGATTCAGGTTGGCGAAGCGGTACTTTCCTCGCCTTCCACCGCTGTGACCCGGGTTCGAATCCCGTTCGAATCCCGCCGGCGGACAAACATGTGGATTGGGTTTTCAGTCCCTGCCTGATTCCGTGGGTTTTCCTCAGGATATTCCTCTGGGCTTTTCCTCCCACCTCTTAAATTGTAATTTCTTTTCATTTTCTTCTCTCTACAGGTTTCATGAGGTTTTCCAGCTACAGTGCTTAGGTACTTAAGAAACCTTGGTTCTCTTACCAGAAATAAAATATCTACACATAGGGCCTAACAAGCGATTAATTGAAGCATGGAAATGAATAAATGCAATCGTCAGCTCGACATGACTTTCCCCATCTTGAATCTCCCCGTTTTCAGCACAATAGAAAAGATAACACAGTGGTTTAGACATGACAAAACTGGATTTCGAAAAACCCAACTAAACTCTTTTTTTTTTAATGGCAGGCTGGTCTATCTAAAATCAGCGGCAACGATACTCTTTTGGCAGACCAAGATGCGTTGGGAGAATTCTTGGCGCGGTATGCCCCCGAATGGGAGCCAGGTACGGCGCAGAAATACCACACGATGTCCTTCGGTCTGTACGCCAGCCAGCTCTTGAGACGCGCCGACCCCAAGCACAGGACACTGGGCCAGTTCTTCAAGGAAGAGATCGCTCAGCCATTCGGTAAAATCCATGGCACTAAGTATTGGCAGTTTCCATGTCATTTAGTTTGCATTGACAATTGATATAAATATATATTGATATGGTTAACGATTGAATAAAGAAATTATTAATAAATTAGCTACGCTGCTTTGATAGCGTTTTTGTCGATTGTCAACGGTCTTTCACGGGCTCTGACCAGTGGCCACACGAGTGCACATTTTGCCAGGGCTCCATGTGTAAGAGATGTTCCTTATCCAGCAATAACGTTTCCCATAATATAACCTTATATTAAATCCATCGAAGTGGAAATGGGAAGGAAAATGTCATCTTTGTTTTTCGTTCTCAATATTCAACCTGTTGGTATTTTTTTTTGAAAGACAGAGCAGAACTGTAGGCAGCTGCCATTCTTGATTCCATTTTCTTTTTCTCGGTTTTTCTTGTGCGATGACAGGCATTGATTTTCACATCGGTTTCCCTTTGGAATTGTACCACCGGTATCCGCGTTTGTCCTGGGCCAGCGCTTACATGTGGTTCAAGACGGCAATAACCAGTCCGATGGTGCGCAAATTCTTCTGGGATATGCTGATGAGTAGTAACCTGACGATTTCTCAGCCAATGCAGGTATTGAAAAAAACAAACATTTGGTCAGACGTTCCCATAATGATCATGTTTATATATCTGTACTGTTGACATTGCATAGTTCGAGGTGTCCCGACAGGTCATAACATGGCGTCTGGACAGGCCATAACATTGCGTCTGGTCAGGTTATAACATGGCGTCTGGTCAGGTCGCAAAATGGCGTCTTGTCAGGTCATAACATGGCGTCAGGACAGTTCATAACATGGCGTCTGGTCAGGTCATAGCATGGTGTACAGGTCATAACATGACGTCTATGCAAGTCATAAAACTCACTAGTCTAATTGGATAAATTACGAAAGCTTTATTAAATGTCATGGATTTGTTCTTCCGCTTACTTATTACAATGACTAGACTTTTTAAAACAGTGAGCGTCTCTTTTTGTACATTCAGTTCAATGAACTCATGTTCCCCGAGATACTAGCCCTCGAACAGCCGTCGGCCTACGGAGTTGGAACGGCCCGTGCTCTCGCTAAAGCCTACGGAATATTAGCCAACGGTGGAGCCACGTTGAAAGGTCAAAAGTTACTTTCTGAGGCCATCATCAAAAAGTTTATGGATGAGGTATGGGCCGGAAGTCCAGTTGGGATGGAGGGACTAGGGGTTGCTTTCAACCTAGGATTCGGTATCGAAAAGGTGAGAAGTTTTCTTTGTCATGAGATCGATTCAAATGAGAGATATCTTTTAAAAATAACTACAAACAATCTTTAGGGTGATGTTGATATCGGGGCTGTGGTCTATAACGAACCTCCGGACTAACAGGCGGCCATCTTTTCTTTCTTTTGGTCACTTGTCAAGTAACATGGTACTTGTGCGAGCAGGTGTCACGCATTCATGTGCTGTCCCCTGCAAAAAAATAAAATAAAAGGTTCGTCCAATCAGAGTTCTAAAAGACTGACTCCGGGGCGTCAGATAAACAAGATCCGTCTAAAGAGAGCTCGAAGAAATAGGTCACCATCGCCGTCAGATAAGGCGGTGCACCAGCAAACCTCCTTTAAAACTTAAAAAAAAATGTCGTTTCTGTTACAGGAGACAAAACGGTTCGGCCATGCAGGATTAGGGGGCATGCACGGTATGGCCGACCCTCAACGCAAGATCGGCTTCGGCTATGTCTCCAGCTTCCTGTCCACGTACACCATTGGGAGAGACCACCGCTTCCACCCACTGCTAGAGGAGACGTACAAGTGCATTGAGAAATTGGAAGCAAAATAATCGTCTCGTGGTGAAGATGTAGGGAAAAGGTTTTGTCGTGTGCTTGGCGGCTGTTCGAGGATCGTTATTGCTCGTGTTGCGAACAGTAAAGCAAACAAACGAGAGTAAAACATATAGCGCTTAAACTAGTAAAAAAAAAGGTTTTTACAAAATTAAAATGACATTATAGAGGTGTATAAAATCTTTTAAAAACGTGAAAAGTATAATAGAAAGTAAAATGGAAGTAAATTATGTTAAATCTAAGTATACATGCACAACAAATTAGCACTGCAGTAATTAGTTGTGGGTCGTTGTTGTGGTAAAGAAGTTTTAACCAAGGTTTTAAGATGTCTGGGAAAAATAATACAGCCCTCGGGTTTTTTTTAATTGTGTTACTTGTTTTCATTTGTTTAGTTTAATTGCATTTAAATAATCTTGGTAGATTTTAGCTATAAAAGATTAATTGTTACGGAACTCCGAACAAAACAACGCTTAATTACGTTCAGATTTCTTTTGCTAGTGTTTTGGCTTTTTTTTGCCAGAGAAAGTTTTGTATTACATTCTCATTAAGACAAGTATAGATGATTTCTTTGTTCTCTACAGGGATAGTAAACAAAAACCCGAAACCCAAATGTCGAGATTATTGTTTTATAGAATTTCTGCATGTAGCACTTTACAAATCTAGGATATGAAAGCCAAAGTACAAGAATCATTCAAATCACTTATGTACTTTTCAAGTTACGTCATTTTAAACACAACCACCGTTTTAAGGTTATGTCCACGGATCACCAAAAAAGGTGTGCGTGCTTTCATCAAAATGAAAACAATTCACACACATCCCTATGTGATTTGTTTTCGTTTTGCTGAAAGAACACTGAGTCTTTCGTAATCCGTAGACAGAACCTTAAAACGGTGGTTGTGTTTGAAATTCCGTAGCTTGAAAAGTACATAAGTGATTTGAATGATTCTCATACTAAAAGAAAGCTTATGAATTGGGCTTTCTTGTCCTAGATTTTGAAAATTCTACATGCAGAACTTCCCTAAAACAATTGTCCAAACATTTGGGTTTCGTTTTTTTTTTTGCTCACCCTGTACATTCTTCAAGATGTACGTGTTGAGGTACATTGTGCTGCAGTGCCCTCTTCACCACGACGGCTTTAATGCAGCCGATTAAGATATAGTCGTGTTCCCTAACGTGGCGCACTTCGAAGCTTACCCGACTTTCCTCGTGTAGTGTTGCCAAACCTCTTTGTTGACAAACCTCAAATTCATGCAATGAAATACTAGTACTTTTACCTTATCAATGCTTGCTATTTTACCTCTGTGAACAATTTCAGTTTCATAAAATTTAATCCGAAATTCAAAAACGGTGGTGTCCGGAAATTGGGCACGAATTGGCGGAGTGTTCCCTAACGTGGCGCACTTGAATAAATCTTGGAAAATTCCAAATTAACACTTACGAATTCCTGTAAACTTGATAAATTCTGATAAATAATTAATATCTTTACTTACATACCAAGCCAAATGTTTGTCAGAAAATTATTTTCTTATTTTTCAGGGCATTTCAAAGGGTTCCCCTTGCACTTGAAAATAAAATCGGAAAATCACGCCAAATAGCTTTTCCTTCTAACTTTGTTACGGGTAAATAAACTCGCGATATATGAACAGGACCGTTTTAGAACTTGATGAAATTTCACTTTCCGTGAAATTTCAGTTTAAAATTTTGCTCTAGGTAGGCTCTACCAGCGAAAAATCCAAGTGCGCCACGTTAGGGGCCGCGCCACGTTAGGGTACATCAACAATATGTGCCGAAGGTAGTTTTCAATATCCCTCCGATTTCTTCACCTAGAAAATAAACAAAATCTAACTTTGTTAAAGTGCAAATAAAAACTGTGTGATGGCCCATGTTCCAATCATTTTAACAGGTAACAAAGAATATCCTAATTATGTGTTGTTGTTGTTGTTGTTGGTTTTTCTTTTTTTTGGGGGGGGGGAGATTCTCACGATACTGGAAAGTTTGGACAAGACGTGCTTAATCATTACACGCTTCTTGAATCGTGGACAGAATATTAATAGCGAAACTTGAATCTTTAAGAGCACCGTCATCTTTTCGTTGGACAAAAATACAGTTCTTATTTTAACAAACATTCGTTACCAACGAAAACAAGTAAACCAAATTGCTCAAATGTATACAAGTTCGCAGATTTTTCTGTAAAAATAGTGACAAATAGGTAAAAAAGGAAAATTTGACATCTATTGGTTATTGAGAATGTTTCTTTTAAATGTTATCTTCCGAAATATGCTGATTCATGCAAGGTACAAGTATTAATACTCTGTACTGTTTGATATTGGCAAAAAGTCGTCAGAACTTTGCCCCTTTTATAGAGGTCGTTGACTTTTCCCCAGTAACCATTCGATACTTTAACACGAACACCCATTGAAACATGAAACATTCGTAGGACAAATTCATCACTAGTCTATACCAGACACTACCATGTCTGGTTTTATAGGCTTGGTCGTCGAACAAATTACGCCAAGTTCAATACCTGTTGAATGATTATCTAAATTTAATGGACGAGCATAGCGAAGGTTTCGACCTTTGCAACCAGAAAATCAATTCATAAAACCAAGCGTACAATAAGTGCATAGTTGCAGTTCTGCGCTATCAGCTTCGGGCGGGAACAATATGTGATAATATTGCTAAGTATAATTGCAGTTCCGCGCTATCAGCTTCGGGCGGGAACAAGAAGTTTGGCATATTGAATAAACGGCTGCTCATGCAGGCCTAGCACTCTCCTTGTTTACGTTTATAAAGGCCTATATACCGCAGTGCTGAATGCTGATTGTCGCAGTATCGATCAATCTCATATTTTGTTTTACAACATTTGAACTAGGACTATTGGAAAGAGACCCCATCTCCATTGCGGTCGACGGAAATTGAGTTATAGCTGTATAGAATTATTCAAGAATTGAGAAATACGCCGATTCCGAGAACTAACCAAGTTTTAAAGTTTCATCATTTTCGTGCAAATGTCGATAAGCAGCTTTCGTGATGGTTTTAAATGGCAAAAAAAAATGAGTTTTAAACTGCAATTTTACAAGTCAATGATGGCGATATTTTTTGCTGCCCTATCATGCTAGATCCAGTTAATCCTACAAAAAGTCAGCTTTTTGTTTTTTTAGGGATTGTTCACACTAAGTAAGACGTAGCATTCAGTACTGAAAATGTAGTTAATTGTTTTCTGTTTCGCCATAACTGATGCCAATTGTCTTCGTATATTTCCCTACTAGTTCTACTATCTATTTTCATGCAGAAAATACATTTTTTTCTGTATAGTGTGACCACCAATCATTCTTGTGTTATAGCTCAGAGCACAATTTTATAATACCCATGTAAAGAAAAAATGCCATAATAAAAAGGTTATTTTTAGTTCAACCTCTGGTAAAAACAAATGCCATATAAAACTATCTGTATACAGCCAGATGTTGCATAAACTCCAGATAGGCTTGATTAATTAAACTCTATATTAAAATATACAAATAGTTAGTCCATTTTTGAGTAGGCATGCGCCGCACCTGAATGCGCTTCATATGTTTTTTTTTTCATATAAATTCTAACCCCACATTTACCCAGACACCAAAGTTCAAACATAAAAAACAATCAAACGTTTTTTTGAGTGCTCAGGCACCACCCGAGCACCATTTCGCAATTGTGTTTTTTTCTTTCTTTTCCCTGGATAATAATTTCTTCAAAACTGCCCATAGCATGAACTTCTAACTTGGAACAAACATCAACTACAGCGGTGTGAATAATACAATGACTCACAATGTCATCCATATCACATTACAGATATTGTAGTTTACTTATTACTACATGCATTTTGTTCATACTTTACAAACTGATAAACCATACCTTGCTGGACAATTTTAGTATCAGATGACAACGTCGTCTTCCTGTCCTTACGGGTTTACCGGAAAGTCAAAGCCAGGTGATTAAAACAAAACAAATTCATTTGGATCAAAGGAACGAATTGATTTTTGTTTTACCAAGACATTGTACACACAAACAAACGCTGATTAAAAGCACAGCCAGGCACCAGACTATTCCTAATTTGCATACGTGTGCAAGATGAATAAACATGCAAATGATCCGGAACCAGTGCGTGCAAGTAGGTAGGGGTAAGCGGTAAGTGGTAAAAAAGAACGAAAACTTCTACCATATACTTCTTGTATGTCACTTTTTTCTCCCATTTTGACTTCTCTGTTGATTCTCGAGGTTCACCTTTTAAGCGGCAAAAAAACAAAGGCAGATTATAGAAAATTCGACTCCAAAAAATATTGCTCGTTCTACAATGCATTGCCAATAAGTTTTACTTCTTGCACATGCGTGTAATTTCCAATTAAAATTAATGGTCCGTGAGCGAATATCTGGTATAGTTTTCCACCCCTGGAGTCAGATGGGCTTTACTTCGAACGTCAGTAGATGTGTTTCAACAAAACTGGCAATAGATGACTGCTCCCTGACGCTTGAACCCATCTACTACAAGAACGTGTACTTGGCGCTGCTGAGGCGCATTCGTTCAGTAGACATCAAGTTGAAAGCAGCCAGTGCATTTCCGCCTCCTGACTTTGCCGTTCGTTTCAACCTGAAATGTAAGCTTTGGATCATCGTGACTAGATTTAAATTATCTGTTGCTAGGAAAGTAAAAAAAAAGAACCGGTCATTTAAAGGGGTTCATGATTGATAATATAAAACTGTCACCTGCGTACGTTGATATGACTTCCATGTTTTAAAGACAAGTGATGTACGCATTATTTTTAGCTTGATACTGCTGCGTTTGAGCAAACTTCCTGAAAAGCACAATGCCGAAAAAAAACATGGCAATACAGCCTTAATCGTGGTACGTTTTTTACTGTGTGTTTTATTTTGTCCGTCGTCAGTATTAGCAAGAATGAAGCTCTACATGTGCCTGGTTCTCCTGATGTTTGTTGGAATTACCTGGGGTTTCGCACTGAGGGACGGTAAGTTGGTTGGTTCACAAGTTTCGTCATACTCCTAACGATCCCCATGTCATTTAGAATGGTTATACCTCTGTCTTGAATACTGTATTTTAATTGGCATAAAACGATCAAGTGTTAAGTTTATTTAAAAAGTCTTGGCACACTTCATTGGATATGGTACGTATGGTGTGAAACGCTGTTTCAGCTGGATTGCTGAAACACTAACTGAATTGACTTAAACATTACACTGAACACATTTTTGCTGGGTTTCCTTTAACAGCTACCATCTACAGCAATGTTTATTTAAATGAAATTCGGCAAAACATACTGATTAGGCCTAGGCTTAAAGCTTACAAAACAGGTTTTCTGCTGGGTTTCCTTTAACAGCTAATATATGAAACAACGATTATTTAAATGAAATTCTACAAAAAAATCATAAATAAAAAAAACCCAAATAACAACATCTCAAAGAAAAGAAGAGCTGTTTCCTCTGGATTGTTGAAAGAAGAGCTAGACAATTCTTAACAATGAAAACGGACACAGCTTAAAAAAAGTACAACAACGCAGCTTAAAACTACAGCAACGCTTAATTAAGTTTACTTCAATCTAAAATAACTGATACTTTTTTTACTTTCACTTGTATTTGTACATCCTTTTTTAAGAATTGTAAAATTTATATGTAAAATTTCATTTTATTGCTTTCGTACCTAATATTGTCAACTATAGTTTTAATAACTTTTTTAACTTTCGTTTGTTGACTTAAACACAACGAAGCTCTACAGACAACGGCCAAGCACATGACAAATCTATTTGTCCACACCATCGTTGACGGTTATTTTGCCTCCAGTTTCTTAATGCACTTGTACGTCTCCTCTTGCAGTGGATGGAAGCGGCTGTCATACCCCAAGGTGGCCGTGGAGCAGTAACTGGAGACGTATCCAATCCCGATTCTGTGCTGAGGGTCGGCAATGCCGTACTGACCCCCTGCCCCAGGGTGGCCGAATTGTTTCGCCTCCTGTAAAGGAAACGACCATAAATAATAAGAACTTCGCTGGTTCCCACCGCCCTATCAAATGGTGACCTGCAATTCGGGAAATTCACAATGCGGTGCGCCACACGCGTTTGCCATGGAGAGTCCATTTTTCAAGTTACGGTCGACAAAACACGGCCCATTTGAATGAGTGTCAGTAGAAAACTTGAGCTATTTTGTTTTAGATTGAGGCGTATCGTTCTGCTGCCTGAAAAAAAAACAATATAGGCCTATTGATAAAAAAGTAAAAAAAAAGGGCAAGCATATACTCGAATCATACGCTTACGATTGGATGAAATTTGTTTACCCATCCAATCATTTACCCAGTTAATATTATAGGAACTAAGTTCAATGTCCAAGTGACAAGTTACTCAGCGTTATGATGGCCTCGTAAAAAAGGCGAAAATAGTGTCTCGATAAGCTGCCTCTAGTGGTCGATTACCATTTCGGTCACTGGCAGCACTGCAACCACACGCTGCAGACAACATAAAGCCAATGCCCTTTCCTACTTTGTTTTCTCATTTTGTCGGAGTCGCAGTCTTGTTTAAGAACAAACTTCATAAAATAGAAAACTTCTCACCTTCTGAACGAAGAATCCCAGGTTGAAAGCAACGTCTAGTACTGCCGCAAACCCATCTGGAGTTCCCTGTACCTCATCCATAACCTTTTTGATGATGTCCTCAGAGAGTAACCTTTGCCCTTTCAGTGTGGCTCCACCATTGGCTAATATTCCGTAGACTTTAGCGAGAGCGCGGGCTGATCCCACTCCGTAGGCCGACGGCTGTTCGAGGGCTAGTTTCTCGGGGATCATGAATTCCTGGAACTGAATTTTAGGAGAGACTCTTTGGCCTATACTGTCTTTAATACAATAAAGCTGCAGGTTGTGGGTTCGAGTCCAGCCTGGGGTCATGGTGCGTGTGCCCTTGGGCAAGGCACTTTGTCACTCATTGCTTCTCTCCACCCAGGAGTAAATGGGTACCTGTGAGGGCAGAGATGGTTATTGTGGTTGAATTAGCTTCCTTGCGCCTAACAGGCGCGGTGATGTTTAGTATCAGTATATCTTCAATGCAAATAAGCTTTTTAATAAAATTAGGTAGGTTACTTTTTTGGATAAGTGCAAATGAACCGTATGCCTTAAATCAGATTGATTTGTTATCAGAAACGAAAGTCAGATAACAGGAAAGTACTGATTCAAAAGAATTTTGTTTCTTTTAGATTAGGCCAAAGGAAATAATAAGTCGGTCTCTGGTCAGCGCGCGCGTCGATTTTAATCATGCGCGTCGATCTTTTTTTTTCCAAAATGTTCCGCGGTAGCTCCAACAGCGCCCTCTATTTCCGCACCTCCTCAATTTTTTTTTACCAAAGAGCACCAAGGAATGGGAAATTGCACCAAGGCAAATGATCGAAAGCACCAAGGCAAATTATGGAGGACACCAATGTACATGAGGACACCAAAAAAGAAAACTAGTACCCACCTTGTCTGTACAATCCAAGCTTGAAGAAAAAAAAAAGCCCCCCCCAAAAAAGCCGCGTGGCCGCGTCAATTCCGGAACTTTGGTCTGACCAGAGACCGAATATTTTTTTTTTGGCCTTACCTCGATTGGCTTAAAGGTCGCTCCTTGTTGGCCAGTCATCAGTCGATCCCACATGAATTGGCGAATGATGGGATTGCTTATCGTCTCCTTGAACCACATGAACGAGCTGGCCCACGACAAACGCGGATACCGGTGGTACAATTCCAAGGGGAAGCCGATGTGAAAATCAATGCCTGTCACCACACGAGAAACCAAGAGAAGAAAACGGAATCACAAATGTCGGTTTCAAGGAAATATCATCTGTCTTCTAAAAGGTGCAAAATTAACGATTTGAATCCGTATTGATTAGTATGCATTTTCTTGCGTGCGCATCGTTTACCACATATAGGCCTAATATTAATCCATGACTTGGGGATAAAGATTATTTTGGGCTTTGTCAAGCATATATATTTCGATAGTCTAATTTCTTTCCCATTTCCACTTTGGTGGAATTGAAAAGGTAATGCTGAGGGACAAGTTATTCTAGAAAAGAAGAGTTTGTATAGTACATTTGGACATGATACCTGGCAACATGCTAACAAGAAGCTAATCTGAAGAATGCACAACATGTTTTTCAGAATGGATATTCGCTTGACGTCTTTTAACGCGCCTGGTCTACACAATCGGCCACATTTAGCCAATTCATTGGCGATAAGGGTGATCCTATACGATTGCACTGCCCGACTAATAAAACTATATAGTGTCCCGTGTACATGTTGATATTGGCAAACCGGTTGACCGCTAATACAGCTGCCTAGCTCATTTGGTAGAGCGCCGGTACCTTGTTCCGGGTGTGGCACGTTCGTTCATATCAAACTCACGCTTTCTTTGTTTTGGGGAAATTTAAAACTATTAACTATTATAAATGTTAACTCAAGCTACAATAAACCAAATGGAAACTGCCAATACTTATTGCAAAAGAAGTACATGTATGTACCAAATGGTTGAGCGATCTCTTCCTTGAAGAACTGGCCCAGTGTCCTGTGCTTGGGGTCGGCGCGTCTCAAGAGCTGGCTGGCGTACAGACCGAAAGAAAACGCATGGTATTTCTGGGCCGTACCCGGCTCCCATTCGGGGGCATACCGCGCCAAAAACTCTCCCAACGCATCTTGGTCCCCCAATAGAGCATAGGTATCTTCGTCGCTGATTTCAGACAGACCAGCCTGCCATTCAAACAATAGAAAATTTTTACACACCCACACCTACTAGCATGTTTACGTTGTATACCTAGTGTTGACACTCCTTTGTTTTCGTGTAGTTAAGAAAATTCCCTTGAGTTTTTCTCTTCATTTTGCCACGGATAAACCTAACCCAAAATATATCTAAACCTGTTTTCCAGAGAGGGCGAAACCTTGTGTGGACGTGGGCAAGTCAACACAACGTATCTGAAACCTGATGGTTTATGTGGGCATCTTTTGTTCGGAAGTCCACATAGTGAATGTAATGCTTGTACAGTCGTGAGTTTGACTATACTCCAGAGGACCTCCTATTGTTCCCTTCTTTTGTTCCTATTATTTGTACTTTTTCTCAATATCTCCCACAGGGTTTGTACACAAAACCCTCTCGAGGACTTGGCTCAGGTCCTCGGTGTTATTGTTATCGCACACACCCAATTTGCCCAAGTCCTCAGTCGTATAGGATAACAGGTTCGACAAGACAGTGCAAGCCTATGGTGAAGCTTGCCAAAAAGCGCGCAAATACTCAGAGAGCTAGGATACTCCTTGAATCATTTTCATGCATCTGGTCTACACAATAAGCCAGATTTAAGGGTAATCCTATACGATAGCACTGCCGTGTAACAAGTGACAATGAATCAGTGAGTCAGTCGGTGAAAATGTACAAAGCACTGAAAGCAGACATGGCCCTCTGCGACCAGCAAAGATACGGCAATAGATATGCATCTACAAGCTCCTTGTACATCTCTATTCATGTCAATTTGAGTTCATGGATGCTGGTTATCTGTCTAAAAAAAATGGTGAAATCAGAAAAAAAAATTGGTTAAATATGAAATTTAAATATAAGTCATTCTTACTTGGCATAATATTAAAGAACAAAGACTGGGCTTTCTATTAGTGTTTGTTTGATCTTATTTGCTTTGTCAATTCAGAGATATAATCAATTTAGTGCGATACACCAACAATTTTCTGCCACTTTTATGCATGGGCAGAGTTGTTTCGAGTACTGCGCCATGCTGTCTTGAAGCTCACAAAAGATTGCAAATTGGCAAAAGAAACAAACTCGATTTTTGTGTTCCGCAGTAAACTGGAGTTATCTCTGGATTGACAAAAGCAAATGAGATAAAACAAAAAGTATTGGAAAGCCCGGTCTTTTTTCTTTAATGTGATGCTCAAAACGAGTTACTTATGATGAATTTAATATTAAAAAAAAAATCGTTTTCGATTGTACCATTTTTTTTTTTAGACAGGCTGTATAAACTCGATTTCAGTCTTGTCAGTACCTTTACCACTGTGGCTTCAAAAGTCGGTCTTTATTCACGCTGTCCGTGTATTCAATTCAAATTCAACAGCAGGTTTTACGAATGTACACATGTATCACAAAACTCAGACCTTGGGTAGAGCTGATAATTTTAAGGAAACTGCGCAAGTTGCTAGTTGTCCGCCTTCGCCTATCGGTTAAACCAAGAACATTTTTTTGGCGTCTTGTTACCCGGTGATTGAGGAGCGTGCGCACTGTGACGTTCTCTTTTCCATTCTGGGCAAATTCTGGCCAATAGGAAGCCACGGTCTTGTCGTAGTCAAGGTGACCCCTGTCAACCAGAAGAGCCATGCACAAGGCAGCCATGCCTATTTTGAAAAAAAAAGAAAGAAAGACAAAGAAAGAAAGAAAGAAACAAAACCCAACACCCCAACAAACAAACAAGTTTAAGCAGACACATGCAGAGAGTATAACTTATATCCCAAATCAAAGACATCAGTGCAAGTCGTTCTTTCACTAATAGAGGGCGCTGGTTTGTAAAAATCAAGGTGAATGTACTTTTGATTTATAACTGGGTTTCCCCCAGCCTCTCCATTATATATAGATTGTCAACGCCAAACGGTTTTCACTACCTTTTGTAGCGGAGAAGACTACAGTCAAAGTGTCCTCCTTCCATGGCCGTCCTGCCTCACTGTCCGCGTAGCCTCCCCAGATGTCTACGACCTTTGACCCTTTGTAGTACACCGAAAATGTAGAACCAGCTGTTGGAGTTTCTACTCCATTCTCGAAGTTCTCCCTGTAGAAAATTCCCCAGAAAAGAACCCTGTTGATTGATGCTTCGCAAAAAGAAAATCCCCCCAAAAAACTTTCTCAAACCTTTTTTTTGTAGATTATTCTAACAAATTCAGTCTATGCCGTACCCAAGCAATTGGGTACCCAAGCTTTCAGCAAAGATGATTGTCACTCATTTTTGGCTATACAATATGCTTATTTTATCCCCTCACCACCTGTTTATAATTAGATCGAGTGATTGAATTAATACTTTTTTTTGTCGTAAAGGCCGTCCAAAATTTCATGTACAAAAATTGAAGGAAAAAAAACCCACAAATTAGGCAATTACCTGAATAGTTTGGCCACCGGTTCGAATCCTGGCTGTACAGTTCCTGCAGTGATGATGGGACGAGTCTTGGTCCAGAGTTGCGGTAGGTACACCGTCAGCACCGCAGTCACACAGACCAGGATAGCACTCTTCATGAACGCCATGTTTTAACAATAATAGTGCAAAGTCTTTTGAAGAATTCAGTCTGGTAACGTGCACTTTGTTTGATGAAGGTCAGGTTTATGTTGGCCTGAGGCTGTAGCAAAGCATTGTAGTCTGGTGATGGCGAACGATTGGCCCTACGGTTGTTTCATGCTTCAAGGGACTTACGTTACAACATATCATACAGTTGCCAGGGAAAAGTCGATTCCTGAACAATAGCGTAAAAGTATCGACGACTACTTTTTGCAAAACCCCAGAAGTGAACATGAAACAGTTCTGAAAATAATTTTCACCAAAGGACGCGAATCAGTATTTGCCTAGACACACTCAAGTTTATGAGATAGCGGATTGTTGCTTGACTGCCTTGTAATCTTGTGTGTTTAACCTTTCCTGCAATTGATTTTTCTATCCGTCCTGCTCGTGCCTGTATATCAGTATTGTAATTTTTTTTTATTATTTTGAGAGGCGGAATGATAGTATCATGTAAATGTTGAGTTTTGTTTCAATCTAATATAGGTTTTTTACATGCACGAGCACATTTATATTTCATTAAAAAAAAATAAATCTACGCGTTTGGAGAACGGTTTAAATTCAACGTGTGACTTTCATGACAACTGGCGACCCCAAACGGCTCAGTCTGAGGACCACACATTGACACCGAAAATAGTACCAAGACAACAGCAAGTTTCCAATTTGTTATAGTGCGAACTTTTAATTCACGATCTTTCCAAATGTAACCTTTTCGTGGTAAAAGCGTTTTCGAGCAGGAATTGGCGCCTCTCTCGAAAAGTTTGTCCTTACTTTTTATAGTAGCAGTTCCTTAATGTGTTCAACGCTGTATCGGGCATCGCTAAATAGGTGAGTGATTATACTGTTCTTAGCGGCGACCAGTGATCGAGCGCCGGTCGCGGCCAAACAGAGTAATCACTCGCCGATTTAGCAACACCCGCTTTAGACACGGGAGTCAATTTAAAACTGGCATTCATGATAAAACTGCAGCGATTCCTATTGATTAAAGTAGTAAATAAAACTTACAACAAGAGCTGTTTCTGCTGGATTTCTGACACATTGTAGCTAAACCGACGTAAAAATTACCGGAGTTTTTTTTTTGGTAGGGTTAACATCTAACATCTAAAACAACGATTATTTAAATATAATTTGGCTAAAAAAATAAAAAATTAGAATACAAACCCCAAAATAATAACATCTCAACGAAAAGAAGAGCTGTCTCCTCCGGACTGCTAAAAGAAGAGCTAGAAAATTCCTAAACAATAAAAACAGACACAGCTTACTACAACAATGCAGCTTAAAACTACAATAACGTGTAATTAAGTTTAAATTTAAAATAATTGATTTCTAATAATTTCACTTGTATTTGCACAACCGTTTTTAAGAATTTTAAAACTCGATATGTAAAATATCATTTCTTTTTTTTTTTGGAACTAAGTTTGTCTGTAAGTTTTAATGACTTCTTTTTTTTTACTTTCGATTGTTTACTTCGTTAACACAGCGGCGAAGATCTACAAACAGCGGCGAAGATCTACAAACAGCGGCCAAACATACATGACAAATCTGTTTGTCCACACCATCGTTGACGGTTATTTTGCCTCCAGTTTCGTAATGCACTTGTACGTCACTTCCCTCAGTGGATCAAAGCGGTCGTCATACCCACCGGAGCCGGCCGTGGAAATGTAGCTGGAGACATACCCGATACCGATTCTGTGTTGAGGGTCGGCAACGCCGTACTGACCCCCTGCCCCTGGGTGGCCGAACCGCTTCGCCCCCTGTAAAGGAAACGACCATTAAATAATGAGAGGTTCGCTGGTTCCCACCGCCCTATCAAAATGACCCGTAATTTTGTTGCGATCTCATTGGACGTAGGTGTTCAATTCACCGGACGACCTAGGGTGAATATTTTGTTGAGCTCTTACTGGATAAAATTGGTTTACCCATCCAGTTATTCAGTCATTTACCCAGTCAACATTGTAGGACTTCCTGACGATGACAAGTCACTCAGCGTTATGGCCTTGTAAAAAAAAGGCGAATTAACGCAGTGTCTGGAATCTGCCTCTAGCAGTTGATTACAATTTAGGTCACACGCAGCACTGCACCAACACGATATGCGGCCAACCCTTTTAAAAGCATATGCGTTTTCCCTACTTTGTTTTCCTATTTATGTCGGATTTGCAGTCTTGTTTGAGAATGATTTTCGCTAAATAGAAAACCTCTCACCATCTCAACGAGGAATCCTAGGTTGAAAGTTACGCCTGTTGCGGCCACCCCATCTGGAGTTCGTGCCTCATCCATAACCTTTTTAAGGATACCCTCAGAAAGTAACTTTTGACCCTTCAACGTGGCTCCACCATTGGCTAATATTCCGTAGACTTGAGCCAGAGCACGGGCCGTTCCCACTCCACAGGCCGACGGCTGTTCGAGGGCTAGTTTCTCCGGAATCATGAATTCCTGAAACTGAATATTTAGAGAGACTCTTAGGCCTATAAACTGTCTTCAAGAAAAAAATACAACATTTGCAAATATCCAAAAGCAAGTACCAAATTATCACGAAATACCTTGCTGTACAGTAAGTGAATGACAGTGCAAATCATCCTGTAAAATCATGGCACCTGTGTTCTGACACTTTTAAGAAAAGTGGTATTTTTGTATCAATTTCCAACGCTGGTCAGCCGATCTCTGTCGGAAAAAAAAACGTTTAGCTTTTTTCAAATACTGCTCCGACTTTATCATATTTAGCTAGTCCGCATTTTCTTTGCAGTCGATAACACAACTGTGCACTGGTACCAGCCAGCTAGACAGATTCACTGACCTTAACATTCCCCGACGTCTATGCCCAAAACGTCAATCAGGTCAGTGTTACAATATTTGCTGTAAAATACTAACCCCCAGTCCATCTATTTCTGAAAATTACAGCCAAAGCAAATGTTGTATATTCTCTTTAAAAGGCCGTCCAGTGTGATTCAATCACAAAAAAAGTTAAAAAAAATTAAAACAAATTAACCACCTTTTGTATTTTGTTTCTTGATACACATGCAGCTTCGTATTGCTTTACAGAAAGCCTTAATCTAAGGCAAATAGGATCATTTACTGTTCACTTTCCGTATCCAATGATAACACCACTCCAAATTCAGAGAAGAATGTTCAAACCCTAACTGGTTGAAGTTAGTTTCCTCTATGTCTTTAAATAAGTTTGCTTTGTTATCAGATAAAAAAAATCAGACGGACAGGGAGGTACTGATTAATTAAAAGATTTGTTTTTGCTTAAGATTACCTCGATTGGCTTAAACGCCGCTCCCAATTCGCCAGCAATCAGTCGGTTCCATACGAATTGGCGCATCGTGGGATTGCTTATCGTCTCTTTTAACCACATGAACGCGCTGGCCCAGGACAACCGAGGATAGCGGTGGTACAATTCCAAGGGGAAGCCGATGTGAAAATCAATGCCTGTCACCACATGAGAGAAACCGAGAAAAGAAAACGGAATCACAAATGTCGCTTACATGGAAATCTCATAAGTGCTGTGAGGTAGACAGGTTTTTTTTCACCAGACACAAGACGTCCTAAAAATTAAAATAGTGAGGGGGGGGGGGGGGGGAGGAGGCTTGACACCATCTTCCCACAGGGACATTGCTCAAAACCTATATCGTGCTTAATGTTAGACAATAACTACCGTTAGAAAATAACTATTCGCTTTCAACGGACGTTAAAATAAACAGAAACTCGCGAAAAGAAAGGGTTTTGGCGACTGGTACGCGGAAAAAGGCCTTTATGTTCTTCCTGCTAATTATGGTAACTCTACCGGCGGGGGGGGGGGGGGGGGGGGGGCGACTGGGGGACACGAACTTTTTACCCCCCCCCCCCAGCCTCACCTATTGATATTACGTAGGCCAAGTGTCCGGAGAAAAAAACTGTCTACATTCAACATTTACTTGCTGATATGATCAATAGAGTTACGATGTGACATATATATATATATAGTACATGTGTATTAAGATTATATCAAGCACATTTCAATTGTCTTCTTTCCCATTTCCTCTTTGTTGGAATTCGAAATTGTAATGCTGAGGGACAGGTTATTCAGCCACGAAGAAAATTAAGCCGCTTGAACATGATTCCTGGCAACGTGCCATCAAGAAGCTAATCCAAACAGCGCACAAACTTCTATTCAGATTTATATCGCTTGAAGTCTTTTAATGCTTTTGGTCTACACATTGTAACGGGCCAAATTTAGCCCATTCATTTGTGTTAAGAGTGATCCTATACGATAGCACTTCCCGACTTACAGGTATTGGGAAAACGCTTGAATGCTAATGTAGCTGCGTAGCTGATTTTGGTAGAGCGCTGGAACGTTGTTCTGGTTGTGGCATGTTCATATCCAACTCCAGTTTTCTTTGTTCAGGAATTTAAGACTATATGAATTTCATTACTGAAAACATTAATTCAAGCTACAAAGAAATTAATAGAAACCGCCAATAATCAATGCAATGAAAATGTAGGCTACCAAATGGTTGAGCGATCTCTTCCTTGAAGAACTGGCCCAGTGTCCTGTGTTTGGGGTCGGCGCGTCTCAAGAGCTGGCTGGCGTACAGACCGAAGGACCACGCATGGTATTTCTGAGCCGTACCCGGCTCCCATTCGGGCGCATACCGTGCCAAGAAATCTCCTAATGCATCTTGGTCCCCCAATAGAGCATAGGTATCCTCGTCGCTGATTTCAGACAGACCGGCCTACCATTAAAACAAGTAAATTAAACGCAACATACAACTTCTGTCAAGCCTTTTGGTTAGGTTACTCAATTTTCAGTCGTGTTATGTCTTTACCCTTTTATGTCTTTACCCCCTATGGAAATTCTTGTGATTTATCCGGACATCTTCAAAAGATCGGAATGTCATTTACTGCCTTTTCTAATTCGTTTTGGGAGGTCAATATGGTTTCAAAATATATTATGTAGGATGTCCATTGTTATCATAGAAATCGATAAAAAAGGAATTATACATTTTGGAACTATGCATTTGTTTTAGTAAAAAAGTTTTCTCTGTCAAAACCTCTCTTCAAATCACTTATTCACTTTAGGATAACATTGATAGTGATGATGTGACTTCCATACGTGCTTGAAGTGCAATGGCCAACGTTGGGGAAAATTAATCAGCTTTCTTTTTCACCTTTTCCACACAATTTTGTTCCTGTTTTGGAGTACGTTTCCAACAGTTCTTGGATGGAAAACTTCAAGGAATTTATAGCATTACCACAATTTGAGGCGATTTTGGTTGGAACGAAAGTGCACTGTTATATGCGATGTCAAATATTGTTTTGGATGGGATTAATGCAGGCCCCAAGAATGTGTGTTTAAAGTTTTAATGCATTAATGAGCGAAACAAAAATCAGAAGATGTGTATTTTCTTTTTAACATAGTGCTGGTCCTTTGTGATACCCACAGTGCAACCAAATGTCGTCATGTTATATACAAGGTGAGTCACAAAAAGCCCAAACCCAAACCCCCCAAAAATATATGCCAATTTCATAAGCTACTTTTATATGAAAAAAATTACTCAAATTGGTCAATCTGTTCAAAGAATATAACCATTTAAACACAGTGACCCTAAAACCTGTCTCGTCCAAAAAAAAATGCGATTTTAAGAATGGTCGTCACAATTGTCTTAAAACATCACCAGCGATAAAATCTCAGTTTAAACGTTTACAATATTCAACAAAGTCCTTTTGAAGGCCCGTCTTTAAAAAGAAAATAGATTTATAAATCATATTGTTTGAATAACCAGGGTTGTTAATAAAGATATTGTGTACTACCGTTGGTGACAGTTGTTGAAACAAGTATTCTGTGTCATTTTCTTCGTTGTCCCAACAAACAGTCAAACACACAATAAATTTTAAATGGTGATATTCTTTGAACGGATTGAAAAATTTCAGTATCTTTTTCATCTAAAAGTAGCTAAAGGAAATTGGCTTGGCAGTCATTATTATTTTTGGTGCTTCATATTTTTTTTTAATATGAAATATATTTTTGGGGGTTTGGGTTCCGCTTTTTTTGGCTCACCCTGTAGAATACCCGCCAACCAACATACCTGTCTGTAAAATAAAATCGGTAGAAGTAAATAGAAACTGGGAGCGAATAACAACGGCGACCTTGTTCCGGAGAGGACGGAAAAGTCCCCGGTTTTTATATATGTGTGGCATAAACTTGCAATCTTCAGTCACTCTGCTGTGAGGTATCGTTTATGAATCCTTTAAATGCCCGTGGATTCAAGATAAGTCAAACGAGTCGAACTGTGGATTCGATTTCCTTCCACGCCAAATTAACCATAGAATTGCCATAAGACTACTTCACCTAAAACTCACGGTCGAACTGGAACCTAGATATGGTAATAAAGCAAGTTGCTACACGTCCCCCCCCCCCCCCTCGTTGATTGGTTAGACCAAGGTCGTCTAAACTGCGACCGCTATCTTACCTGGTGGTTCAGGAGCATGCGCACAGTGACCTTCTCCTTGCCATTCTGGGCAAATTCTGGCCAATAGGATGCCACGGTCTTGTTGTAGTCAAGGTGACCCCTGTCAACCAGAACGGCCATGCACAAAGCAGCCATACCTATTTTGCAACCAAAAAGCACCCAGTTCTCAGTTGACCCAGATTTGAGATTGAAGTCAAGTTTGCCTTGATTAAGAACCAACAAATATCTTTGGGCGAGGACTGCCTCCTCTCGTACTGTGCTGTAGGCCTACATTTCAAATCCCTTGAGATCCCACAAATCAGACGCTAAATGCAGATTAAGTCATTCTTTGGCTGATTTGGTAAGATCAGAGGTGGAAGCATTTAATTTGAATTCAGCTTCTTTCTCTAAAAGGATTTTGATACACTTTCACTACCTTTTGTAGCGGAGAAGGCAATAGTCAAAGTGTCCTCCTTCCATGGCCGTCCTGCCTCACTGTCCGCGTAGCCTCCCCAGATGTCGACGACCTTTGACCCTTTGTAGTACACCGAGAGCGCTGAACCTGCCGTTGGATATTCAACTCCATTTTTGAAGTTCTCCCTAGAAAAAAATCCCCCCAAAAACAGTTGACTGATTATGAATTCGCGAAAAATATCCCATTCTAATAGTCCGGTCAATTTCAGCAAAGACCTAGAACAAATTGCATTATAAACCGTTCAAGCGTCAAACAACCTGAAATAAATACACAAACAACATTTTTTGAGTGTAGGCCTACATAACATTTTTTGACAATTAATAACGTTTTGCCAATAAATGTATCACTAAACGAACACACGAATCCCGGATTTCGAATATTATCCGTAATATTTAAAATTGGACTCCGAACTATTGGCGTGGACACCAAAAATTTCGTGTATATCATTGCCTGCCCATGTTTTAAGTAGACATGTTTATGCAAAGATTTTGCATGAAACGAATGATTTATTGAGCACAAAGTATAGTGATTTATTTTAACCGATAAATAATTCGGGCAGTAAGAAAATCTCAAATTTCTTGATTTATTTAAAAGAAAATACCCTATAAGTATTGCGCAGTTAAGTAAATTACCATCATTCACAATAATTGGTGGACATAAACAGTCGTCCGCTGTGATCAGTCGCGTCTCCCGAAGTCTCTGCGGGCTAGTAACGGAAGGAAACATGGCACCCTCCATACGACTGTTTACGTATGATAAAAAATATAGTAGCGAGAAAGTGAATAAAAGTTTTTTTCCACTCCTCTGAAGAAAATAGATGTTTATATATTAAAGAGTGATATTTCCTTAGCGTGATAGTATTGAAATACATTCTTTTGCATTTAGTTCAAGGTCAGGCCCTGTTTTGTTGTAAATTGACCGGACTAACTCGAAGCATGCCTTACACCACCCCTAAATACCCAAGCTTTTACCGCAAAGTTGATTCTCAAATCTATAAAAGGCCGTCCAAGGTTTCATGTACAAAAAAAGGGGGGGGGGGATATAAATATACATTACCTGAAGAGTTCGGCCACTGGTTCGAACCCTGGCTGTACAGTTCCTGCAGTGATGATGGGACGAGTCTTGGTCCAGAGTTGCGGTAGGTACACCGTCAGCACCGCAGTCACACAGACCAGGATAGCACTCTTCATGAACGCCATGTTTGATGAATTGATTTTCTGAGTGCAAGGTCTTCGAGTTAACAATGCTGGTCCGTCATGCTTGACAGTTCAGCATTCAACAGGTATTAAACTTGCACTTTGTTCAACAATCACAGTTATTCATAGCCAGACTTGGTGTTGCCCGATAAGAGATGGAGGATTTATCCTACGGTTGTTTCATGTTTCGAGGGGGCTTACGTTTCTATTTTTTTTTATGGAAAATAGTCTTCCTGAACAAATTAAAGGGTACATGTTTTTTTTGCAATCCCATAGATTTGAACATGAAACAGTTCTGAAAAAATGTTTCACTGGAGGACGTGAATCAACAGATACTTGGACACTCACAAATTGTTAGAGACGGTAACACATTGATGATATTGCCTTTGAATGTGTATTTAAGTTTGCTTCAAGTTTGCTATCAGGCACTTTGTGAGGCGGAATGTTGGAATTTGGTAAATGTAGGTGTTTTTCTTCTAAATTTGGATCTCTTTACTGTTATTGTAGCATGTTTAGACAGCACAGAGGTCTTCCTTACTGGCTATTGCAATGTTGAGTCATGTGATAAACCAGAATGATTCAAGAAATTAGGACAAATCTCCTCAAGTTTGTGTCGGGACATTTTTTAAATGAAAAGCCCGCCAACTAGGGTCACCTCTCCCCGCATCTGCTTCGCCAGTGCCCCTTATGTTTCCATGGCAATATTACGAATTGGTTTTTACTACGAATTGGTTTCATGACACCTCTAAAGCACTGACAAATAATTACAAAATACGACATTGCCAAAGCATTGCAATCGGAGTTGAAAACAATAGTATACCGCCAGTGCTTTGAGAGTTAGGTGATGAGGATGCAGCAATGCATGGAAGCCAACATACGCTATTTTGAAGGGATGTATGCAAGAGGTATTTTAGAAAAGTCTGCTGTAAAAAAATATGGACCATTTGACACAACTTTTTGATCCGAACTCGCACATGTCACAATTGATACCCCATGGAAGTTATCGTTGGGTTAGTGTTCACAGAGAGATTCATGCTTTGGAGAGGACTGATTGATACTTATTGTGCTCTGGTTCGGAATAAATGTAGTCAATTATTTCTCATACTTTATTTCTGGTGAACATTGGCGCTCTTTTTTAAAATTATTTAATATTGTTGTTTGGTAGGCCTATCCTCACGTAAAAAAATACAATTACATTGAAGGAAATGGTATCCTTAGGCCCACATAAATTTTCCAATACAGGTGCATAATGCATTATCATAATGCTCAGTTCTTACCAAACCTGTTTATCTCACAAATTTCCACTTTCCAATACAGTTTGGAGACTCAATTAAACATCAGGCATCTTAAAAGTTTGGCCACCGGTTGAAATCCAGGCTGTACAGTTCCTGCAGTTAAAATGGTCTGAGTCTTGGCCCGCTGCTGCTGTAGGTACAGCGACAGGTTGTCAGCGGCAAAAAAACACTCTTCACCAGTTGCAACATCTCCGCAAAACGTTAAAATAACACACACGTAATTCAATTGATTCAGAGTGCGAATTAGCGACTTCAATAAACAAGACACGATAAAGTGCCATTACATTGGTAAGAAAAAGAGTTTGTGTTGAGGGAAAAATAAAACAAGCTTGACAAAATCTGGTTTATTCAATGTTCAAAGTCTTTGTGGTAACTAAACTTCAACAGCGCAAGCGCATGATTTGCACACGGTTGGGGTATAATAGTGTGTAAGAAGGAAAATAATCAAAGTGTATATAGCGCTGACATGGAGCAAAACATGACTGACAACAGCAAAATGGCCTCTCCTGATATAAGCTGTATTTTTCATCTATGATCTATTGCAGCTTACGCCCCCACCCATAAGCTCAACTTAACTCCCCGCCTCATGTTTTCGATTCCTCCTTATTAGCTTGTTCAATCATCAAGCTCGAAAGGCGCACTCCGAGGGGGGGGGGGGGGGGGGGGCACTCGGGAGGCTTAAGCGCCCCCCCCCCCATGTTGTCAATCTGTGGGTTTTGTTTGTTTGTTTGGTTTTTTTTTTTTTTTTTAGTCCTACGATTTGACCTTGGTGATATGTATGTGGCCTATTTTCGAGAAGTATAATAGGGGGTTAGTGGTGCCACCAACGTCAAAATAGTCCTCCCCAAAAAAAATCCGGCGGGATGCGCCACTGAAGCTGCAATGGACCTGTAGTAGCCAAGTAATTGTTAAGTGCGTCCTCTGGGAATGGGAATACTAAGATCAAATGTATCATTTTCCATTGTGTTCGCTCAGGTGTCTGATGCTTTTCGTACTCTCGTTTGCCGTTCGACTTGTAATTCAGATAAATGTTCCGTATAATAAACCAGCTGAAAGCGGATATTGTTTGCAGCCTCACTGGTATTTGTAGCAACCATATTCCCGTTGATACTTTTATTTGCAATCAATTGAAACGCGCCGTGCAAGGAACAATATTTATACTCGGGGTCGGGGAGTCATTAGGACTGTATTATAACTATTGCTCACAATGTACTTTACCCATGCAGCACAAAAAAAACCCACTTCATCTGGCCCTAATTGTGATTCAGTACCGTGATTTCTCATGCGGGGAATTCCCGTCTTGTCCGTTAGCCACTCGTTTATTAAACATTAACCATTGTTATTTTTAGTGGGAGCCATTGTATATTAATAAATAAATAGCTGCAAGGGTACTACCTGCATTTACATGTAATGCATGAGCCGCCATTACCATTTGGTGAACGTCGTTATTCATAGCAGGAAAACGTAAAGCAGTCTGATTCCTGTTCCTTATTCGCAGACAATAGTTGTTTCCGACGAATTTTGGATACATTTTGCGGAGGGAGTATGGTAAGATCAGATGTTTGTGTTATGGTAAACTATCGAATGCGACTGAATTAAAGCGCATGTATCTGAATCAGTGGGAACAAAAACACGTTTGTGGACAAAGTCAATAATACATTTCTTTTTATGAAAAGCCTGCTGCCTGTCTGTTGCCGTTCCCAGCAGATATGTATTGTTTCGTTCGCATTATACTTTTTATCACGTTTTTGTACAAACCCAGCTAGCACAGACACATAGGGCCCATATATTGGGCACAACATGGCTTGGCCCAATATTATCCAGTTTTGACCCCGCGTACGCTTTTATCACTGGCACAAAATTGGTCCTTTATTGGGAAGCAGTGGTTTTATCGGTCATTGCCAATTTTAGCTGAAATTGCCATTTTTGCCAATAAAAGGACAAGTTTTATGCAAATGAACAAACGTACGTGGGCCAATATTGGTTAATATTGGGTAATCCTGGGTAAAATGTTGGTCACTAATGTTCGGCCAATGCTTTGCCATATTATTGCCATTGTAGACAATGTAGGACCATTTTTTTTGCCTATAGGCCTAGTATGAGCAAAGCGCGCATGAGGTCAATATGGGCAAAATGAAGTTCAACAAAATGAAGTTGTTCAACACAACATGCATCACAGTTCCTTTATGGTTGTGAGACATGGGTAATATCCAAAGACATGGAAAGCAAAATAAATGCTTCTGCCACCTCCTGCTATTACTTCATGCTGAGCATCAAGCGTACTGACCATGCATGTTCCCAATGCCACCATCTACACTATGACTAACTCCGAACCCTCTTGTGGAGCGTGCAAGAACTCGGCAGCTTAAAATTCCTTGGGCACATACTCCACATGCCAGACTATCAACCTGCAAAAAGCTTATGTTCTTTATACACAACCCTAGGGGAGGAAGAGGCCATGCAGAAAGACAACGCACATCATACCTACTTATTCATTGCTTGCTCGGAGATAGTGATGGCATGCTGTGACCAGACCAAATCGTAACACTTGCCCATGTTCACAGTAACATGGAAAAAAGCTTATAGTCGCCTGCTCCGCAGCCGAAGGATGATGACGGGTATTAGGCAATATTGGGCTAAAAGTAGCCCAGTTCTGACTACTAGGTTTGGCTTCCGAGATTGGCCCACTGTTTTGCCAAGATTATATCCCAATATAGGCACTTAATGTTTGTGCTGGCTCAGTTGTGGCTGTATCTTTACAGTGGGATCTGCAACAAGCGAAGGCATGATTGCCCAGTTTACAGTCTCATGACATGGTAATCATAATATGCATTTACAAGGGTCGAATACATTGATTAGGCCCCCGGTTTCTGGTATGGCGCTTGCCCAAAAAGTGGTGCGGCGACGCGGCTTTTTTTTAACTAGCTTTTTTTGCTTCAAATGTCGGCTGATGACTGCAAATGGTGCCTGACTAAACTTAGTGCAAATATATGGGAGTCCAGAGAGGCCACATAAAGCTTATTCTCGATCATAACCCCATCTAAAAACACGTTAAAATTGTGCAGCAGCAGGATTCCAGTCAAACCAGTGAGTTTGGCGGTTTTGAGACATCATCTTTCATTGAAAAAAAAACTTTTTCATTTTCCCGATGCGCATGGCTACGGCTACGCGCGCGCATACCAGAAACCGGAGACTTTTTTTGTTGACCTTACTTCCTAGCAAAATCTTTGGTCCTAGTCATCTGGTTAAATATGACAGCTTGTTAACTGTCAACATTTCACTGTGAGTCATAAGCTGAACCACAGGGACAAAGATAAAGTTGTTCTGATACATGAATTTGGATTCTGCTGATATAATTTGCAATGTCCTGTACAAAAAATGTACCAGCTTATGTACATAAGGTAAAAGGGAGGTACTGCTGTGCAAAAATTGAAGGATATATATATTTTTAAATCCACAAAGATGTAAATAATAGTTTATATTTTCTTGGTATCCTAAAATCTGTGGATTTTGTAGATATTTATAAACAATTACCTGACTCAGATTCACCACGGACCTCGAGGTCATGAAATGACGTGGATTGAGGAGCGATACCAGATATACTCGTTAATACAATGTTCGGTTTCGAGGAGTCGATACGTTCACACCAATGTTGGGCCAATATTGGGCTTATTTTTGGCAATACCGGCACAGGCAATGCGACTCATATTTTCATCCAATATGTGCCCAATACCGCCCAATACTAACCTAGAACCAATATTGGGCCAATGTTCTGTGCTTATAGCTGGGTACCCAAGTAGAACCACAGAATAATTATAATTAGTATGAGGTAAATAGTACCTACAAAAAGTCCATGTTTGCATATTCTGCAGTATAACTAATCTAGCCTCTATCGATCTGATATAGTTGACACGCAAGAATCAGTGAACTTTGATTTTTTTTTTCATGAACTCATCTCGGGTAGTCACGTCGCCACATCAACATGGCATCGGCGGACATGCAGGAGCCCCCGTGGTGTTTGCCTCCAAGGGAATTAGAGTCGTGGTACCAAGAAAATATCCAAAAGGGTACAACGTTATTCGACGATACCTGCAGTAAAGCTGTAAATGAAGTCGTCAAAACTATCCAGAAAATTTGCTCCACGGATAAGGTCGTGTTCGATGTCAGCGAAATTGTTAAGGTTGGTTTTCCTCAGACTCATTGAATTAACTAAAGATACCCACCTCGAAGTGGTGGACGTTGTCGTGACGCTTCTTCAAATGATTTGCATACAGAACAGTGGAAGGCCTATGTAGGATTGACGTCTCGGAAATTGTAAAGCTTGGTAAACGGCTCAAGAGTTCGTGCCAAGTGTAAATAGTTCACAATTTTTTTGTATTGACAATTGTATCCTATACCTGTCATTGCAACGAGCAATACAACGAGAAATATTCGAAATCGAATTCTTTGCGTACTTTCATTTTGAATTCCAGGGTGGGTCGCTTGGAAAGGGAACCATGGTTAAAGATTTCTCGGACATCGATTTAGTCGCCTTCATCTGCCCACCCCAACTGAAACCTGTCACCGAGATGGGCCTACACAATTACAAACAGCAGTTAAAAACAATTCTTACGGATTTGAAGAGAGAGCTGGAGATCGAAATCGGGGGACGCATCAAGACAACCAATTTCTCCGTGCAGTTTTCCATCAAAGTGGATAGCAAATGGCTTGATGTCGACCTTCTTCCAACGGCCAAAAACGTTCCCGACGATAAAGCAGGTAGGTCAAGACAAAGATGCACGCAATCGCCTTGTCGGTGAGCTGGCGAAAGCAGTGTCATCCTACGTCTGCATTTAAAGGGAATATACAACATTTGCAAACATCGAAAAATAAAACTACCAAGTTTTACGAAATACCTTACTAGGATGTTGGTAAATAACAGTCTAAAGAATCTTATAAAATTATGGCACCTGGTGTGAAGTCATTTTCAAGAAAATGATTTTTTTGTACACATTTCCAACGGTGGTCGGCCGACCACCGTTGGAAAACCTAACTATTTTTCAACTACTGCTCCCACTTTACCCTTGTTTCAGTCCAAATTTTGTTTGCTATTGGTTACATGTTCATGAACGGGTGCAGTCCAGCTAGACTGGTTCCCTTACCTTACAATTTTCAGGCATCTATAAATTGATCCATTTTATCTTTAGTGGAGTCAAGGAACCAGAGTACTTGAACATTTTTGTTTTTTTCTTGATTTTTCCAGCATTTTCGAACACAAACCTTCAAACACGTCAGTGTAACAGTATTTGATATATTATACCAACCCCAAAAATAGTTTATTTCTGAAAATTACAGCAAAAGCCAATGATGTACATTCCCTTTAAACAAAAAAATGTGTCGATTGGTTGTGGCAACCTTTACGATAGATGTTCTTTTTGTCGCGGTTAGAAGGTGTGGGGAGTAAGGCCAAAAAAAAAAAAAGTCTCCGGTTTCTGGTATGGAGCTTGCCCAAAAAGTGGTGCGGCGACGCGGCTTTTTTTTTTTTAACCAGCTTTTTTTTGCTTCAAATGTCGGCTGATGACTGCAAATGGTGCCCGACTAACTTAGTGCAAATATAATGGGAGTTCAGAAAGGCCACATAAAGCTTATTCTCGATCATAACCCCATTTAAAAACACGTTAAAACTGTGTGGCAGCAGGATTCCAGTCAAACCAGTGAGTTTGGCGGTTTTGAGACATCATCTTTCATTGAAAAAAAAATGTTTTCATTTTGCCGACGCGCATGGCTACCGCGACGCGCGCGCATACCAGAAACCGGAGACTTTTTTTTTTTGGCCTAATGGTACGTTATAACAACACTCGCTACATGCGTTATACCCTAATTTCTCCACCAATTATATTTTTTGACGTTAATGCAGAACAAGCAATATCATCGGTCTTCCTATACGATAATAGGCAACAAAGCCAGTAACTTTCAACCCCTGGGATATAGGCCAATGTAGTTGGAAATGTGCCCACCGTTTCGCCGTAGCGACTTTTACAGATTGATGAAAAGAAGAGGAATTGAAGAGTATTTCGAACGTATTTTATTTGTATTTATCTCCAATTTTACCAAAGTTGTAAAACAAAAGGTCAAAGGGACCATGGGATGTGTTTTGAAAAATGAAAATGATTTGGTAGTTAGGAAAAACTGTAGTTAGGGAAAACTATAAAGCAAGAAATTATATTGTGCATTCGCCCACAGGCAAATCGGCCCTTTTTCGGACTATGCTGGCTGAAAGCTGGTGGGACAGAAAGTTTTATTCAGTCTCATTCGTAAAGAGTCAGTTAGAGTTCATCCAGGGCCAAGATGGATGTGTGAAGGAGCTCATACGTTTGGTGAAGTACTGGGCGCACAAGAAACTTCCTGGGAATCTCCACCACTCCTACCCGCTAGAGTTGATCACAATCTTCCGATGGCAACGGGGCGGGAAACAGAAGAGCTTCAGTTTGGCCATGGGGCTTAAAAGTGTTCTCCTCATGCTGACAACACTACGAGGGATACGGACCTACTGGAAGGGACATTACAGCAAGGCATTTGCTAACCAGGTGATCGATAAACTGTACACCACTCGGTGAGTAAAACAACCCAACCAAGCGCAAAGCAATCCAACCGAACCCACCAAAGTCAACTCCACACAAACCCAAACCCACCTGAATCCAGCCCAACCCAGTGTATAAACACCCGGCTTCAATTGTGGATCCCCGTTTGTGTTTGTACAGTAACTTTTTAGGAAAACCTCCAATATGTTTTGTATACGATCGTCAATCGTGGAAACTTCGGGAATTGTGGACCCTATTGCCATCTTTTGTTCAACGTCCCCTATTGAATGCAAAAGCAAACCCTACCCAAACCAGCTACCCAACCCACATCAGCCTAGAAAGTCGATTCCTACATTGAGGATCAGGATCTATTCAGGCATGAAAGCACACACTTCCTTTGATTATTGCCACAAGTTGAAGATAAATACCCCCCCCCCACCAGAAAAAGGGCAAGGTTTAATATATCAAATTGGTCGTCAAATGCTTACTACCTACACTTTGTAACCCCTTTTCATCACTTTATTTCTTTTGATTAATCTGTCAGTCCCGTCATGCTAGACCCCATTAATCCTACGAGCAACGTCTTCGAGATTTACCACAACGATGACAACTTGGAAGTCATTAACGCTGCTGCTTGGAAGACACTCCGGTCAGATCTCCTAAAGGGTGTGGTCCTTCGTCGTCGGCAAAGATGGTGCCGCTAGAAAAACGGAATCGGACTTCATTAAAGGGAATATACATTTGCTTTAGTGCTGTAATTGTCAGAAATGGATGGATTTAGAATAGGAAATATTGTTACACTGACTTGTTTGAAGTTTTGTGTTCGTAGATGATGGAAAAACCAAGAAAAACAACCATGTTCCTGAAGTCTGGTTCCCTGACCCCACTTAAGATGAAACAGAGCAATTTATAGACGTCAGGGAATTGTAAGGTTGGAGAAACCGTCTAGCTGGCTTGAACCTATTCATAGGTGTGTAATCGATTGCAAACAAATGCAACCTAACGAAATAATGGTAATTTGGGGCAGTATTTGAAAAAAGCCAGGTTTTTTCCAACGCTGGTCGGCCGACCAGCATTCGAAATTGATACAAAAATACTACTTTTCTTGAAAATGACGGCACATCAGGTGCCATGATTATTCAGGATGCTTTAGACTGTCATTCACTAACAGTCCAGTAAGGTATTTCATAATAATTTGGTACCAATAATTATTATGTAAGGACAAGTTAGCAAAGCAAACGGAACGTCTTGAAGATTTACCGGGAGGATGGCAATGCGAACGTGATGAAACTGGCTGCTTGCAAAACACCTAGTATCGCCATCGACAATCCTGGCTCATCAAGCTGGAACTTGCCGGCTAAGCTGAGGATTGTGGTGGTATGGTGGTGATTGTGAAAATTCTTACCTTTTGGGAAAATAATTCTTCCACTAATTAAAGATTAGATTAGATTTCTTTATTTTCATGTCATGCTCAAAATTACGTGAAAGTTGATTAGGCCTATCCAGTGTACAATTGAAAATATGTGTACACCGTTGTACATACAATAATTTAAAATACACCAAAAATATGACAAAGCCAAAAACATATTACAACATGAACAAACACAAAAACACATTTACTATTGTACAATCAGAAAAAAAAACTCTAGGAGCAGTAAAGTAGGATTTCAGGCTGTAATTAAAACACATCATATTGTTTTATTAAAATTTGTTTAGAATTAATTATGGGTTTTGTTTGAATGGGCGTTAACATGTTAACTTGCATAGGCTGAAAAACGCATGCGACGCATAAACAGTTATCAAGATGTCATAATGAGGCGACATGCATGCTCACACTATAAATAGCCTTGACAGATTAGTGGCATGTCTTCATCTTGGAAAAGAGAACCTAACAACACTTAAACACGATCAAATCTCGTTAGCTATATTAGTAGAGGCCAGAAATCATTTTCTTTTTATTAAACAATCCACTTATTTTTTTTACCAGCAAGTTGTCAACATCATATAAGGAAATGACCTAAACATAAAAGGAAATGACCTAAACTGCACTCTTAAGCCCGGTTCATACTCTGCGCGAAAGCGAAAGCGAACGCGAATTTGTGACGTTGTAGCAAGTATTGGCGCTGCGAATTCGTAAAAGTTGAACATATTTCAACTCAGCGAATGTTTCATGACGTCAAATTCGCTTCGTATTTGCATTCGCATGAAGTATGAACCGGGTTTTACGAAGGCCACTGGTTAATTTATTTTAATTGTTATCTGTCATGTTAATTGTGGCATTACATTTACGGAAAGTTTTTTTTATTCTTAACCAAATCCTTCGTTTTAATGGTAAAAGCGGGGTATGGTATGGAGCGGTTATAAGGTGCCGGTGATTTATTTTCCTAAGAAAATAAGACAAAGCAAGTACAAATAATTGAGCTCCAGTGTTCACAAAATTCTGTCCCATTTATTTCAAATGGCTTTTCATTGACAGCCTCTTCTACATAAATGGGTCGGATTCAGCCCAATCATCGGCGTTACGAGATAATCATATATACGATATCACTGCCGGGCGTACATTGAGTCAGCGAGTTATTCAGTGAGTCACTCATTTAGGCGCAAAAAGGATACTTTGGCCCCTCTAGGACCAGCGAAAATGGAAAAATATCACCCGGGGAAAAAGCTCCCCCCCCCCCACCCTCCAGCCCATTCATTGCCGCTTACTTGGGGATTTGTTCTGTGTCATTTTATTAATGATCAAAACAATCACGGGGCTCGCCAGTCTTTAGAAAGACACTTCCCGAAAACGATATTGTAACGTTATTACACAAATCGGATTCTACCCCATAACCATGGGGGAAACAACAGTGAAATAAAAACAAAACAAAAATCACAGTAACTACCATTGAGATTACATTTTGCTTTGCCTCCTTGCGTTTTTTAAAGTGATAAATGTATTTTAGCACACAAATGATCATGATACGTTTATCTGTAGACGACATAAAAAAACCCAAATAAACTGATCATTTTTCGTTTAAACCATTAAAGCCAGATAATGTCACTAAAGCATTCTTTCAAAGATCATTGTGCCAAGGACAATATAAAAAATGCATCTGAAATGAGCACATGCATTGAATTATGAACTTCGTCTATCTACCTGCCGGAGCTGAGCTAAATTGAAACCCAATTTGAACAAGTCCATCCTCTGATTTAATACGTAACAAGCAGCAGTTTAATTCAAGTCGTTCTATTCCATTTTGATTATTGCGCACACGTAACAAGTTTTTATTTCTACTATGGTGTCCGTGAACCTGAATGCAGAGTATTCAACAAGGCGACAATGTAGCTCTGATGATTAGCATAGTTATGTAGAAAATCCGCAGTATTGAGCAACAGTTGAGTCATTGGGAATTACCCGGTTCAACAAGGTGACAATGTTATGGTGGCCCTGAAGGGACATCGCATATCGCAAACGTGTGCGCATACGTATGCGATGTCGCGAAATTTATCGCGAATGTGTGCGCACACGTATGCGATGTCGCAAAATTTATCGCGAATATGTGCGCACACGTATGCGATGTCGCGAAATTTATCGCGAATATATGACCACACGTATGCGAATTTGTTTGCAATGTCGTGAATTTTATTTCAAACTTGCGCAAGTAGCAAGTTTGCGCTCGACAGTACTAGTAGTAACGATTGCACGAGGAACAGCGTGCGCGCGAAGGTTTATTAGTCAGACCCTATTTATATCTAACAGTACGTCTAGATTCCAGACTAGCTGCTACAACTCCCCAGTTCATTAGGAATTTTACTGAAAGGTATGCGACAAGGTATGCAATAAAATTCACGACATTGCAAACAAATTCGCATACGTGTGCGCACATATTCGCGAATTGTTTCACGACATCGTATACGTGTGCGCACATATTCGCGATTAATTTCACGACATCGCATACGTGTGCGCATATATTCGCGATAAATTTCGCGACATCGCATACGTGTGCGCACATATTCGCGATAAATTTCGCGACATCGCATACGTATGCGCACACGTTTGCAATATGTGATGTCCCTTCAGGGCCACCATACAATGTCGCTCTACTGATCAGCATATGGCGAAAGCCTGCAGTATTGAGCAACAGTTTAGTCATAGGGAATTACCCGAATCGACAAGGCGACACTGTACTAGCATAGCGTGCGTCTGTACAAACTGCATGATACTTCCGTGAATGAACATATCGTGTGAGAATTACCAAAAACAAAACACCCTAAGAAAGACGACCACGGTTGACTCACGACTTGGATCCTCTCATGATTTAAATCTTCTCTTCAACGAATACAGCCTGGGATGTGAATGAATTAGTGCACTTCAAGCCATCTGCATATATATCTTCATTACAGGGCGCGGACATTTTACATAAAAAAGGTAACTAACTTTTTCCAGTATTATATGGGTCAAAAAGTATAGCTGTACATGTATTTGATGATAATTACATATCAGAGTAAGGTTAAACCGTGGGGGGAAAGGCGTTTGTTTCATGATACTTGATACACTCTACTAGCAATTCTTCCTATCGGCCTAATGCTGTGGGTTCCTGCATATAAATTCGTATCCGTAAACAACATACTGGTAGGTAGGTCAGATCCAGGAAATTTGTATTTTTTGGGGGGGGGGGGGGGGGGGTGGGGGGGGTTGGAGTTTCATCAGCAAAACAATGCTGAAATGCAGACAGGTTTTTTTTTATTCTCCGAACACTTGGCCTTTGTATAGGTAGGGGATGGGTTGAAGGGGAAGGCGCGCCTTGCATGCAAGGGATTCCAATAATACTCAGGGAGTAATAAGCTCTATAATAAGGCTTCCCAGACTATTTGTGTAAATACGCTGTTGTGTCGAGACTGTATTATTGCTATTTCTCACCATGTAGCCTACACTTAGCCGCGCGGCACATAAATAATTTACATCTAGTGGCCTTTTGTGATTCAGTACTTCAGTCACCCGTTCAGTAATTTTTAGTGGGAGCCATTGTATACTAATAAACGTGCAGCTGCAAGATATTGCTAGCTGCCTATGTTATGAGCTGACATAATAACATCTAGGCGAACGTGGCGTTATTCATAGCAGGAAGCATTCGGATCCGTGTTTCTAGATCGCAGACAACAGTTGTCACCGGCGAATTTTGGATACATTTCTGGGAGTAAGCAAGTTAAGATCAGACATTTTGAGTATGAGACTGCATATGGGACACATGAATTAGATACCCCTTCAGAGATAAATTATTGTGGCTGACTGATTCACGAAAGGAAATTTCAGTGGGAAAGTCATCAAAATCTGACAAAATACTGAAATAAAATAAAAAATGTTCAGGGGATGAGGTCAATTCTTCACATATTAAGGATGCCTATGGAACGTAAAGCCGACACATTTTGTGATGGCAACAAAGTGAGACACGAGCTTTTGGGGTCTCCGTGTAAAAAGCCTTAGTATTTTCGTTATCCTAGCCTATGCATACATAGATATCACACCAATTGTCAATAAGGACATACTCAAGCTTTGGGACTGTTTGGTAAGAAATCATGCCTCCTGGACGAAAGAAAACGACAAAATCAGTGAGCGATCCTGGATCACCACCAACGTTATCGCCACAGTCTGCAAACCCAAGCACAGAGAAGTCCCTTTCCGACACCGACGAGTTTAAACAATTTGAATTGAATTGAATTGAACGTTCTGAGCTTATTGAGCGTGTACAGTCCTGTTTGTAATTGTTTAAGGAGGTTACTAT